GGAAAGTTCGTCTCAGCATACTGCTGCATTTGCATCGGTTAGCCTACAGGGGGCGCCTCCGCCTTTGAATTTGATCTATCCAAATAATCAAGTAAGTCTTTTTGCGCACTTTAGAAATTACTAATACGCTTACCTGTGTTTGCTTTTCACTTTCCACACACCCACACACACTCCCACACACTGTCATGCACAAACTCCAGTGTATGAAACATTACACTACATTTGCCCTCAAGGACTCTGAGTCAGTAGTCTGATGTTGTAGCTGCTGTTTGGTGAAAAGCTAAAAATGCCATGAGATAAAGGATTGTCCTTGAGCTAAGCTTTTGCTCCTGGCTGCTCCACTGGCACAGTGTGTTGTGAAACTGCAGCTGCAGTTATTCAAAGCGTTTTTAGTTAACTTGTTCTCCAGTGAGCAATGAAACTTCCCAGTTCAATGATTCTGCCATTGATCAAAGGATAACCTGCTTGGTTCATCATCATAGTTTTTGTATCACTCTGCAAATTGATGATTGGTAATGGCGCACACTGTAACAACTACATAGACAGATCCCAGTGTTGATAAGAAAGGACACCTCCATCCTTTCCAACACATAAGATAAACAGTATTATTTCACTAATATTTTCTACCTTAATGACAGATTGATGGAAGGATGAATTTGATCGCAGTTTTCTCCATGGGATAACCCCCCACCCCCACCTCCAAACAGTCACAACAGGTTTGGATTGTGTATTCTCTAATAATCAGATAGTTTACATAGCCAGTTTGTCTCCAAACAATCACAACAGCAACAGTAACAGTTTTGCCAAGCGAGAATGTTTTTGCATTCAAATATTACAAAAAAAGAAGCAGCAGTTACATTCAATCATTTTCAGCTACTCTGCAGGACACACTTGCAGCTTATTTTTTTCACCCGACAGCTTGTGTCTTCTCTGTCAGTGCTGTCAGACTGTATCTCAGGCCATGAGCAAGAGTGTTGAGACACGTCAGCTTGACTCAACTTAATCCTGGAGTTTATGAGCGGCTTCAGGTCTGTTTCTGCAACCTGATATGGTGTTTATTGCACCAAAATGAATTCTTACTAATAATGCAAGCAAGCTAAATGTGCGTGGACTTTGACTTTTTGCTGTTCTCCTCGCAAATGGGCTCAGTATTTCCACACTTCCATCAAACCTCCTCAAACCCCTTGGAACGCCGAGAGGCCTGAAAGAAAGGATCTGTATATCCAATATTTGGAGTGTAGGTCGAAAAATCCCCATAGAGCTGTGAAATAATCCCCTTGAATGTTTGAGGATTTGGGATTCACAGTGGATCCTTAACAAACACACATGAGGTTCAGGGATTTTCTTTGAGAAAATAAACACTCACTCCCTTGTGACTTTGGCTTTAGCAGGTGTGTAATCATGAGCATGGGAACCTCTAAATACTAAAAGTATGTTTGGAAAAATGCATATTAAGTTACAAGTTATGGCATAATAGTGTAGAGAGTCCTGTCATGGATGTAAGGTTGTCATGATGTATGTGTGTGAGTATATACATGGAGCAGCTGCATGCCATGCTTTGATTTGAACTTTGTTTGATGCTCCCATGCCATTGCAAGAAGAGGATGTGGCTTTGTGGCTTTTAATGAGAAATACAGATGCGACTGCACTGCGATCAGTGGAAACAATGAATTCCATGAGAGTGTAAGCGTAGGTTACCTTCTGGTAAAACATCCCAAAAAAGCAGCCAATGCCTCTGTCTTTTGTGCTCAGACAGTGAGGATTTGCAGCATTTTTGAGGAAGGACAATCTTTTTTTTTTTTTACGAGACCTTGGAAGGTTTTGACGGGGTCTTTGAGAAAAGCTGCACAGTGGCAGAGCTGTGTAGGCTTCCTGCTGACTGATGACGGATGTCTGGGTTTTGTGACTTCCTCTGTTCCCAAGTCTGTAGGGTGATAAGACACCGCTGAGAGACTGAAAGGAGTGGGTCTGAAGAGTGAGTGAAGTGCAGGTTTTATGGATGGGTAGTGCATCAACATTTGGTGTAAAGATTTTACATGAAGCGGTACAGAAAGATAAAAGGATTCCATCTTCGATGTCATGAGGATGTGTGATTAGTTTGCCTGATACGTTGTGAATAGGAGCTATTTCACAGTAAAACCATTGTAAGAGAGTTGAAATAAATGATTTGGTGCTGAGTTTGGCAGTTCAATTTTTACCTTGGAAGCAATACAGTCTCCACTCAAGGTCTACTTACTTGCTTGTTCTGGATCTGTTGTGTTTTTTTCTGGAACAAGAAGGTACTAACAACTTACAGCAATTTCTAATTGTCCAGCAAACAAAATACCACGCTACAGTTACAGTAGAGTATGATAAACCAGATTTAAAAAGGTATTCAGAATTTCTGAATAATTCATGTATTTTAACTGTAAATCACTTTATTTAAGATGATCCCTGTCATGTCATCATTACAGTGCAGATACATTTTGTTTGGTCTGATCTGTGGTGTTTTTGAAGGATTAGATTGTTAATTAATTGTTACTCTAATTTTTGTCTTATGTCTTGCTTTTGTCTTAAAGTGTGTACTATGATGTATGTACTGGTGTTATATAAATAAACTTAAGTCACTTTAATAGAGAACAGAGAGGCTCTAGCAAATTGGAGACGTTTGGAATTCATGTGGCTCTCATCGTGTTATCATTTATTTTAGGTATTTGTGGAAATTTGCATCCACATGGACGTGCACATTCTGAAATGGTTTACATGAGCTGACATGATAAAGATGCTTTTTATTATTCAGTGCTGCAGAACGACAGCACGGAGGGAGTTAAGTAGTTTTATTTGGTTGGAGTTAACTGTTGAGAACTGTTGGGCTTCTGTAAATAACATCACAGAGTACGGTCTAGACCTGCTCTTTTATGAAAAGCGCTGTGAGATAACTGTTGTTGTGATTTGGCGCTATATAAATAAAATTGAATTGAATTGAAATTAACTCAGACCTAGGGGGGGTATTACATTTAGGGTGAATATTTTCATTTTTGTGGTCACCTCAAATTTAGACCTGTAGATCAATAAAGCAATGACACTGTATAATATGTTGAGATATTACTTTACTCAGTTACTGAACTTAAAGAGTACCTTAACACCTATCCTCTCTGATTCAAGCCTGTTTGACATCTGACTACACCCAACATCATTGATGCATGTGGATGGTTGTCTCCTGCCAGATTTGTGCTTTGTTGCACCTTTGAAACCACACCCACACGTGATGTCACAGGGTCTTGGAGTACATCTGTACATCACTGCAGCAAGGTGAAGAGTTCAACCACAGAAGGTCAGCAACAAACAAGACTTTATGTTTGGATGTATCTGTGCTTTACTTAAGTTTTACCCACTCATTTTATACTTCTACTTAACTACATGCCTAATACTACATGTCCTGTTACTTTGCGATAAAGATTTTACAGTACAAAATGTGAGACCAGTATTTATATCACAAACATGTTACAGATCAAACTGCCCTCTCAACCAGATACAATATTAAAATGCTGTTTACCTGAAATATAATCATTTATCACTGAAATTCTGCTGCATAATGAGTACTTTTACTTTTGATATTTTGGTATATTATGCTGATAGTACAAGTTAACTTTTACTTAAGTAAGATTGCAGGGCCTGTAGTGGAATGTAACTAGGTATTTACTTAAGTAATGAACTTATATTCAGTTCTTTATTCTTGTACTCCACTATATTTTAGAAGTATATGTGTACTTTTATGTGACTTTTTACTTTTTACAAACTAAAAGTAACTCAGATTAACTTTTTACATTCAAACCCTATCATCTTCTTACAAACTGCACAACATAAAGAAGTTCAAATTTGCTTCACGCGACCACCTGTAACTTCAAAATGCTGCTTAGATAACATAATATACAATAATGTAACACTGAGAGGGGTCATTCTACTACTTTTGCTTGTGATACTTGTGAAGTAAAATACAAACTTAGAACATACAGAACTTTAACTTCGGTACTGATCTGAATACGACTTTCACCTCACCAGTAAAGATATGCCTTAAAAACAGTGGTAGAAACTAACCAAGTACATGTACTCAAGTACTGTAGGCTACTTAAGGGGAATTTTAGCTACTTTCTACTTTCACTCCACTACATTTCAGAGGGAAATATTATAAATTTATTTGATAGCTTTATTTACTTTAGTTACTTTATAGATTCAGATTACTAATGCAAAATGTTATCAACTGAAAATGTGATAAATTATTGTAGATTTAGCTACACATTAGTAGGCGATATAAAGAAATTCGAAATATCCCCACCTTTACCAGCTGTAATGTTAGAGTGATACATTAATCTATCAATGAGTAAAATTCAATGACATAATAGCCTACACATTACCCTGAAATGAGCCATTTGAAACATTTATTACATTTTCCTTCATAACTCACAGACTACTTGAAATACAACAGTCATCTTTTGATACAAGAAACATATAGGTGCACTAGCCTAATTAATAGTACAATTGGTGTATTTTCAGTTTGATTTCAGGACCTGCATTTGTAACAAAGTATTTCTACACTGTGGTTTTGTTATTTTTACTTAACTAAATATCTGGGTAATTCTTCTACCACTAAGACACAATAATGTCACCGAAATGTAGTTGATTCAAAACTTGGTCAGTGTCTACATACACTGCTCCATGGGCTGCTTGGTTACACATTCATCTCTGTCCAAAGAAAGGCATCTTTGTGTGGGTGAAATGTATTCCTATTGACCAGTGGGCCAGTGGAGGGCTTCAGCTCGGCAATGTGCTGGCAACAAGGTTTCATCCCATCAGCAGCCTTCAGCTCCTGAATATTCATCCAAACTCCTCAGCACACCATGACAATAAACAAGGGAGAGACCGAGAGAGAGAGAAAGAGAGAAAGAGGCTGAATGCCTGTCTGAGGAGGGCGAGGGGGGCAAATCCCGAGAAAAGCGGGGGGCAAACAACCCGTTTTCATGGTAACAAGTCCTGCCTCCACTCTGCAGCAGGCTGTGAGAGGGGAGGCAGGAGGGTTTTTCTTTTCTTTTCTTTTTTTTGTGTGTCGGTTTTGGTTGGAAAGACATAAGTCGGAGTTTATTGAGAAGGGCAGGTAAAGCAGCCAAACTCTTTCAACGCGTGGAAGAAACGGGATTTGAGAGTCGCGAAAAAGGGGGATTATAATCTGAAAATGCCCGCAGCCATGGATGTGAGGAGAAACTCGGAGGTAACGTTTAAAGCAGCCTATTTTTTTGAACCGTTATCGACGAGCTAACGTTATAGCAGAAGGGTTAAACTTTTCGTTAGTTTAGCGGTAGGAAAACGGCACAAACCACCGAGAACAAGGGTCCGAGAATAAAGCTTGTCGTGAAAAAAGAAAAGTTGCAAGGTGCGTTTAAATGTAGTCTTAATCTCCATGTGACCATATTTGGTCATCGACATGTTAAACCATTATATGCACTATTAAGAAGACTAAAACACCAGCGTGTGTGTGTGTGCGCGCGCGCGCGTTTCTTTCAACTGACCCTTTGAATAAGGGAAAATGTGCCTGCGGATACAAAGTTATCGCTCAAACATCCAGTAGTCAAACCAGCAGATAAGCAGATACAGCAACTCAAGAGCAGATTCTCTCTGAACTGAACTCTCTGTGGACATTTCCTGTTGGGTTTTTTTGTCTTGGAAGTTCAAACCCACATGAAACAGAATGTTTGCTGTAGATTTTGTCTTAAATGCTTGTGGTACACTGGTATTTCAGATTGTATACAGGATTGTACACAGTTTTCTTTGTTCGTGCTCTATACACTACACATAGCATACAGTAGGTAGTAGCCTATAGTACAGACTGTATACATAATGTACATGTCATGTACAAAAAAGTAGTCTAAAGGTTTAATGTAGTAATCCTAAGTAATCTTACATTATGTAGGCCTAACACATAATACACATAATACACACACATTGTATACATACTTTATGTTTATATCAGTATTATACGTTTTGTCCATAGCATACTCATATTATTATTAGGGCTGCAACTAACATTTTTTTCATTATCGATTAATCTGTTGATTAGTTGTTTAGTCTATAAAATGTCAAACAATTAAATAAAATGTCATCAGTGTTTCCCAATGCCCAAGATGACCTCCTTAAATGTCTTGTTTTGTCCACAAGCCAAAGATATTCAGTTTGCTGTCATAGGTAAGTAATGAAACCAGGAAATATTTCACATTTAAATTACTTTTTTTTTAAAAAGGAAAGATTAATCGATTATCAAAATAGTTGGCGATTGATTTAATAGTTACTGATTATTCGATTAATCGCTGCAGCTCTAATTATTATTATTTCATCTTTATGTTATTTAGTAATGGTAGGTTTTCAACTCGTAGCTTGTTACCTAGTTAGTTAGTAAAGGGGCTCAAATTTTAACTTATTTTTTATTTTTATTTTACACTGAGTAGTGGATTTCAGTGAAAGTTGGTGCAATGTAGACCATGGGCTAAGTAACAAGTGATTGGTTTTTGGGGCAGATGCGGATTGAGGTATTTTAAAAATGATTGTCTAAAACTGAATGATGCACAATTAAAAACAGTTTCTCTACTTTTCTCATGGCCTCCTGCACATACTTGGATGAAACAGTGTGGTCCATGTAACGCATGATTGTGTGAATTTGGTGCTTCAGATGCAGATGCACACCTGTAGAGCAACACAACTCTCACTGAGTGCTTTGCAGTTAAAATATGGGAAACATGAACGTTTGGGTTTTCCCGAAGATTACATCTTAAATAAATCCATATGATCTTACCGTAATGCAAAGCCTAGAGATGGAGCTGGTTTTCTTTAGCTCTCTTTCCCCCCCTTAAACGCTTTCTATTGTGCAGATCAAACAATGACCTTCCCCTCTCACTGGATGGGACTGTCAACACAAAGCTATTGAGGAAATTCTTCTCTGTTCTCCATTCAGTTTAACAGGAGTGAGCCTGGACTACAACCAGACACTTTTAAAGGGGCTGTTGTTCACTCAACATCATAATGAAAGTAATTTTCGTCTTTCCTTGTGCTATCTATCATCCAGATAATTTTGGGTGTGATTCGCTGAGGATCATAAAAACTTAAAAACAATGTCTCTTTGCATATATAATCATTTAACTCACAGTCATCCACATCTTGGCAGAACAGTTTCATCCTTCTGGGTTAAAACAGTAGCTCTCAAGAAAATAGTCTGCAGTAACCAGGTGTGTTTTTTATGAGTGATTAAGCTGTCAAAGCCTATTTATGAAGAGACATTGCTGTTGGCTTTTTCCAAATGTACTTGACCTGACACTCAAAGCCATTAGGTGTGTAGTAGCGAAGTTACAGCCAAGGGCTCTAAACCTTGGCAAATAACTTTAACAATGTGTGTGTGAACAACGCTTCAGGTATCTGACTTCAAGGATGTCTCAGTGTTGATAATGAGTAGTACACTGTACATGGAAATGTGAATGAAGAAAAATCATAAAATCTTAAATCCTTTTAACCAGGTTGTCAGAATATTTCCTCCTGTATGACATTAGTGGACCCTTTATTTAATTAATATGCTTATACCTTCTCTAATAGTGGTGTTTTAAGTAGTTGCTGTTGTTCCCTCGAGAGATGCAAGGTGGTAATTTGAGCAGCCTTTTCATCACTGCTGTGATGGAGTGATGGAAAAGAGCCTGTTTAAATGGATGTGTTATCTTGTTATCCTATTAGTTCTTTGTTCAAGTTGAACTCCGGTCTCACACTGTTGGCTGTAGAACAGCTCTGAAGGAACAGTTTTGTTCAGGGTCTTGTTGAAGGAAATCTCCAGTCACAGCTGTTTGATTGGAGAGAGTATTTCTTTATAATTTCCTCTAAGCAGATTTCTCCGTCGGGTGTCAACTTGAGTGTTGTTCAGGTCACAAGACCACCTACCTTAACTTTGACCTTTAAGCTCAACTGAAGTTATCAGCCACTGGGAAAGAATGTTTCTTTGAGATAAGGAAATCTACTTTGACTTATCATTGCCTCTCATGACGCATTCATGCTGATGTTTAGTTATATTTGTGACCTAAGCTAAGTATGTTGTTTTAATGTAGCACAGCTGAAAGTCAGACTCAAGATTCATTTAAACCTGTTTTTGGAGATGTCTGTTGTGTTGCTGTTTAGGTTATTCCTGTGTTTCCTGAAAGACATGTTTGCTGATGAGAATATTAGAGGCTGTCCTGTTGTCTTCCAGTGCTACCTACTGTTGAACACTTGTATGATGACACTGACACTCCCCCTGACATACTATGGCTCCTTTGCAGGTGACATCTCTTTATTGACATTTCTTCAGGTTTACTGTAGAGTAACAACAACAGTGTACAGTGTAATTTAATTTGTGCATCACATTATAACCAGTTCCTTTTATGCACTATACATTCAGTGAGGTGCTGTGATTTGATGGGATGACCATGTCACTGTAATGACATTGCTTTTTCCCCCAAGCTATCAGACGTTTAAGCTCAAATTCATCCTCAGCACTTCTCCATTGATTATAGTTTATTACCATTTTTATAATTGCTTCTGTATTAATGTATATTGTCTGCTATGTAGCAGAAGGGAGTTACAAAACTCAGCGTGCCATGAGATGTGCTGCCGTCATTTATTCAGGATGTTAGTTCATCTAACATTGTCTGTTCAGACACAGTTCACCATCAGCTTTGATGTCTGAATACAAACACTGTCAGCTGTGTTTGTGAAACTCTCTGCTAATAAACACTTGTTAGAACCTGTTGATATTCAGAATAAATGATGCATGCTTTTTCTTAAAACTTTGCATTTTGTAAATCCTCTTTATAAAGTATGACCTATAATAAATTGCTAGTGGCTTTCTCTTGGAGCGTAATCTTCAAGGTACCATTAATCAGCACACAATGACTTGCACAGGCCCTTATAAGATCACTTCCAGTTATCTTAATTTAATCACTGACTACTTAAATCAATAGTAGCAATGCTAATGGAGAACACAGTCTGAAGTGAGTTTCCAGTCATTTGTTTTTCTTAGCATTTTGAATTTGTGCATTAGAAAGTTTGAATGGCAAAATATATAGACAGAGGCAGACAATGATACATCGTATTGACTTTATGTCCTTGGAAAAGTAAAAAGACTGTGTGTCAGAGGTCAGCTCTGTGACACAAATTCTAGCCCCCCTGCTGCAGCTCAGATGGATATAAGCCCGTTTTCCACATGCCTGCCTCTGCAGCTGTGCATGCTCATATCTAGGTTACACAGAAGGGTTTTTCCTTTTTTTCCGCAAAGAGAAAATATGCCATGATTACTGTAAAAAAAGGCTGAAATGGCTAAAAAAAAGAGATAAAAAAAGATTCCAAGAATTGATTCCACCTGGTCAATTGAGCTATATAGTGGCAACATGGTGAATCATGTGGTAGAGTATTGGGGTAATTACATTGGTATGGCTACGTGCAAGTGCCAGTAGCATCAACCTTGGTGGTTTTCATTTACGTAGATACACACAGAGGCTCTCACAGCCTTAAACTGCTATCCAGAGACAGCAGGTTATATGCATCCAGAATGTACACATACATGTTTTAGTTTCGGCTGAGAGGTTTTGCTTTTCCATCATGCAATACAAGGGTGTGTGTGCGCTGTAAATGATTTTATGTGGGCTGTAACTTAACTCCCACAATGCTCTGTTTAACATAATCCAACTCAACCACCTCATGTTTCTTTGTATTGAGTGGACAAAACTGTTCTTTCTGAAAATATTGAAGCAATGGTGTGGATCAGTGCGTGGGCTCATGTCTGCCAGTGAGTTGTGACGTCTGGAAAGAATTGAGAATTAGCAGAGATTTTCACTCTTCCTTGATCCATTGCTTCTTGGCTGCCTGTCATGCTCTGCGGTGGCTTTCCTAAAAACCTTGAAGTCAGGTTGCTGATCAGCAGAAACGGAGGACCAGGTCAGCCAGAAAAGCTGAGTAACGAGACAGAAGGAGAAGACATTATTAGCCTCTGTTTATGGAAGCTGTTGTTGTTTGCTACCACATATGTTTCAGGATAAACAAAGATCTTAAACTGAACCCAGTCTCAGGTTAATGAAAGTTTGTCCATCGTGACGTCATAAAATTGTTACATAAAGTCATGCCGTGCTCCCATAATCTGAACATCAAGTGCCAGGTGCTGAGAGAGTGCATATTTGAGTGTGGTCTTTGTTGAATGGAAAAGAAGTGCTTGGCATCAGGTCCAGGTGTTTCTTTCACCCTCTGAAAATATTCTTTAATGTTTAGAATGCAGCCGCGGTCTGACGGATAGGGCAAATATTAGTACTTTCCTGCGTGTAGTGGAGAGAACTTTGAATCAACTTTGTCAAATGTGCCAGGGCCAAGGACATATGGACTTCTCTCTTTTGAAAGATATTTTACCTAATAGTGTCTCTCTCTTTCTCATAGACACACACACACACACACACACACACACAGCTGATAAAAGCGGACTTATTTTTAACTACATCTCCCTCTCAAGGACGTATTGAACACAAAGGGCTCTTTTATTCTGGCCCAAATTCTCTAATGGAGACACTGTTGTAGTCCCATTTCATGAATATGCTCTTCTTGCTGAGGAAAATATGCGTCATTGATATGCCTCTCATGTAATCAATTAGTACTTCTAGACATGAACATGACAAAATAAGGAAAAACCCTGAAATGGCTAAGCTAGGTCATTAAGATGATGGTGTTGAATATCTTAAAGGGACAGTGTGGCTGTTGGTGTTTGTTTTTATGTCAAAGCCAGAGACAGACAAACTCGTGGAGTGTTTTTTTTCATATTTCTGCTGGAAGTATAGGGATTATAAGTAGGGAAAGAGAATTTATACCTTCTCCGAGGCTGGATGACTTCTTTGACAAAGCTATAAGTAGTAACAGAGGAAGTAGTGAAGTTACAGTCCAGTAGCTAACTAATTCCTTGAATAACACCCTTGGGCTTGAGTGTGCCCACATACATTAATTTCCTTTCATGCCCCGCCTCATTCTGTAAAACATCAAACATTTAACGTCAGTCAATGTCAAGTGTGTCATCACAACACGACGGTAATAACTCCCTTCAGCATGCTCACTGTTGACCGTTCTTGGCTCTTACATCTCAAGAGAAAATGTGTGTTGAGTCTGGTTGAATGCACTTTAAAGGTACTCTAGAGCTTTCTTGGAAGTGGTTGTTTACAGCCTGTGATTTTGTGTAGGGAGATGGTATCAGACCTCAGGAAGTCAGTTGGCTAACGCCTTGGTGTTTACACTGCAAAGTCCATCTTGGGCCTCTGTGACCCATTTCTGTGAATGTAGTTTTCTTCGTCCAAAAGATAGAAAATGATTTATACAAATAAACTTTATTCTCAACAACAAAACTTAATACAACAAATGAAGAGCTGACATCATTTAAAATGTTAACTGTTCTATGCTCCTGGAAGCTGATTAGAGTTTAAAAAAAATATTATTGTTGTATGTTTGCTTTAAGGTGTTTCTAATTGAAAAGACAGAAGCTTTGCGTTTTGGCTCAGAGAGTCACCTCCAAAAACATACAGTATTGTTTCAGCTGGTATTAATTAGAAATAAAAATTTGCCAGCTGCCAGCGTGTCTGAACTTTATGTAAGCAGAAAATTTTCATTTGTTTTAATTGAATTTTTTCTTCATGCGATCATGGGTAACTTATTTAGCTAATTTATCTTCCATTTTGCTATCCAAAAAGTGTTTAATTCACAGGACAATCCTCAGTGCATTACTAAGACTGGAATTGTCTTTGTAGTTCACAGACTTACAACAGTACTGGAGAGTTATACGCAGGACAGGACAACATCACTCTTTGAAAATAATGATGCACGCCCCATCCTCTTAGCACAGTCCACAGGAAATAGCTGACAGCAGGAATGCTCCCTCTCTCTCCTCATCTGTCTCTTTAGGACTCGGATCCACTACTGGTTGGCTGGCTTCTTCATACAACAACTTCCTGTAAACAAGTCATGCTGCCAAGCACCCTCCCATCCTCCACCTCTGATCCCTAGGGATCTCCATTTGACCTCCTTATGCACCAAGAACAATCACTTTGAGCCCTCTTGAAGGGGTCATTGCTGCATTTCAAAAAGAGATTTTTTTAGGGGCAACGGCCTACATTTTGAAGGGAGGTTTTTACCAACTGCTCGTCTTATTTGAGATTAAGTCTAGGAAATGCTTATTATAAAGAAGATGTCTTACAACAGCATCTGTGAGAGCATGCTTTCAGCGACTCCCAGCAATGCTTTTAGATCAACAACATTTTGTTTCCCTTTATTATGACCTATAATGGTAGAGATAGAAATCTCAAGGAAAATAAAGCCTCAACTATCTGTACTGCTAGATATTAGAGCTAGACCAATAAAAGTCCAGACTGATGTATTGCACTGTAGTAGTTTATCGCAGATATATCTGCATTTGCATATATTTCAGCCGATAAGTAAGAAGAAATTACAGTAAAGAAATGTCAAAGAGATATTTATGGTAATTTAGATTAGTGTCTTCATCACCATTATTGTTTATCGACCAGTGAGCACTGACAAGTATATTTTTCAATCACGCTATATCATGGACACAAAAACGTCAGGGATCCTTAACAAAAATGTTTATGTTATCTATCAGGCAGTATGTATCGTATCTGATATATGGAACTCTCAAATATTGGTATCGGCCTCAAAAATTCCATATCGTCAGGCTGTTCTAAATATCACTAGGGATAAGTGAGCAAATGTGTTTTGTTGCGATGTTTGAACTGAGCCTTTAATGAGACTATTACCAGTCTCTGTTATCCACTGCTGCTTTTACACTGTATAAGCCCTCCCCTGTAATTAATTAAGTATCCACAGCCACTTGAAGGAAGCTTCTGAAATTAACATGTTGTTCTGAAGTGCAGTGCCAGACACATGACGATCCATCCACAGGTTGCAAAATAATTATAAAATCTTAATTTTTAACTCTGTACTCTCCTGGTTTATGTGTTGCAAAACCATCAATGTTGTAGCAGCCACGTGAGTAATGGCCTCATTTCCAAATTTCCTCTCTGGATCAGGACCTTGTTTAAATATTATCAGTTGAACTGTTTTAGTGCCAGCAATGTAGTTCTGTGTTGTTTGATGTGAAAATTGACTATTTTAAGTTGAGGAATAGCTGTGGCTGAAGCACCAGAATATCTCTGGCACAACATTGTCTACATGCTGTGTTAGTTATGCCACTTGCTTTTGGTTTGTCGAAATTCGTCTGCAATGTTCGATGACCCTGGCAAACGACCCCACTGAGGTTAAATAGCTGAGTTTCCCTGCCTGTCAGTCAGAACTGAAGAAGTCCTTTGGAGGGACGAAACGTCTTCCAGTATCTTCAACCAAGTCCAGTTGCCCTTGACTTTAACCTTCGTTGGATTACTATGACCTGGATGACTGAGAATCTTCATAGACGTCTGCAATGTTTGCAAGATTCAACATGACACCTGTGGTGAAATGGGGTGCTTTTTCATTAGCTTGCCTTATGAAAAGTTGTCAAGTGCAATAACTACTGTACTCTTATGTTAATCTGTGATTGAGAGGAAGTCACATTTAAAACTTGTGTCAAGTCTAGCTATTATTAATCATAAAGTTATAGTACTTAATTTCCTATAACAATCGTGTTGTTATTGTTGGAACCAGTGTGTTCATCCTTTAATGCCAAAGTTAAGCAGAGTCTGAACAACATTAAACCCAGGTGGTGAGCAGAGCTGCAAAACCAAGTCAAGTAACCAGAGCTGACCTGTTCACGCTGATGGAGCACACAATTTTGTCTTGGGTCCTGGCCGTGGGCTTTCAGGAATGTTGGCCATCTGGTTTTTGATGTGATTCTGGTCCATGCTCATGAGAGGACTGGACCTTTTGTATAGTCTAATTCCATTAAGTATTTTAGTGATATACTTAAATCACAGTCTAAATTCCTAATAAGACTCATTTACTACTCAAACAACTTTAGAAGCGTTTTAGTTTTCACTCCCTGTTATTTTTTTTTGCTTGTTGAAATACGTAGAATGCTGCACCTTTTTAAATGTTTCACATCATTGTGTTTGTCCGTCAGGTGTGTGGGCGGTTTCCAGACAAACATGACTGCCAACAAGAGTTCGAAGGCTGTGCCTCATGCAGGAGGGGGTAAAGCTCCGCGGGACGTGCCCGACAGGTCAGTGACATTTGGGAAAGGGATGGGCTGGTTAATGTGCACCTCATATAACATGATGTCAGAGTATCCATCTGACTGGATGTTTTGTTCTTTTGATTTGAAAGATAAACAAGGGGCATACTTATCAGTGAATTCATTCTCAATCACGTCTTTCTACATGATGAGTCCGTAGTAGTTTTTCCTTTTTTCCCCACTTATGGGAAAGAACCATCAATGATTGTCAGCCATGATAAGACTCCCAAAGCTTTTGCAAGTACGATCCTGTATCCTGGACAAGGGCCCCATCCAATCTGAACTGGGAGTATTGAGCTGAAGCTTGTATTAGCATGTTGAGAGCTGACAGTGTCCCACTGGGAGAGAAAAACAAACTTTGGGAGTGATATGTAGACTATTTATTCTTTAATATTTATCATCTTGTCAATTTTTTGCCCTTTCTTTAACCAAGAAGTCTTCTTAGGAACAGGCAAGATTGGCAAGAAACAATTTAGTCTCATATCACACACAGTAGTTACACAAAATCATAGTAACTGTCAGCTGTGAAATATAGCCTGTGTTCACACTATTACACCACCTTGTGACGGTCTGATGGTTAGCAATGGTGCGGCTGTCGGTATTCTAATATATAGTAATGCTACTATTTAACTGGAGCGTTGCTTAGTTATTCCTTTCTCATTTTCTGATGCTGATGAGGCTCAATTGTTAATCATATTGTAGGTAGATGAATAGCTTTCATTTGCTGGAAAGTGTGCACATTTACCGCAGAGTCAAACATATGCTATTCCCATGGTAAACTTGGTAAATGTAAATGTGAGGAAATCACTAATCACACAGTAGCACAAAGCTCTTTCGCACATGAATTTGCATTTAACCTCCACCTGTGTTGATATATTTAATTGTCATTATAGTAGAGCCTTATTAACTGCCTGCTTTCCTTATGGGATCACGTTACACTAGATTCTTAAACATCACATTTAAAGCTCCCACAGATGCTTTGCAGCTCTGTGTTTTAATAAATGGAGTGAAATTTGTTGTGTCGGCTAGTGCTACACAGTGCATTTCCCCAAACTATGAACTAGAGATCAGTTTCTAGGACAATTGTGTAGCCTCAAGAGCCATGCATGGCAACATGCAGCAGCATAGTGGGGGAAAAAATCAGTACAAAGCAAAACAAAAGAACTTGCTCGCTACTTGTTCTGTGATCTTCGGTGAATTTAACCAATTTGTATTTATACCAAATACAGGATCTTCCCTGCCAATTTGCTGATGCTGTACATTGAAGGAATGTCCTTCGCCTCAGAGATCACAGTCTTATCTTCTTATGTAGAGCTTATTTACTGATATGTGAGCAAGTAAAACCCCTAAAACTCTTGAATATAATTTCGATTAGAGTTTTATAGGCTTATAGGATAATGCATAAACGAGTGACAGAGAAAAAGTGCTGATGGATGATAAAGTTTACAAATGGTGAACTATAATTGTAAATTAAAGCTGCAAGCAGCGTTGGGCGGGCCCTCGCACTTATAAGCGCGTCCGCGTGTGAGCCGGCCGAGTTGCATATTCTGGAGCTCTGCCGGTGCGGCTGTGAATTTGCTACGCGGTTATGACGCCGCATGAAGGTGTTATATGTCACTTCCTGTGTCCCCTATGTGGAGCTACATAGCACTTGCCGCTATGAATATAAATCGGTGTTGGCGTGTAGATGTCTGCGGGGTGGGAGAGTTATCAAGCACGTAAAGTTTGTTTCAGATGTGAGCATGTACACTGAACAATAATGTACCCAAACAATAAAATAAATTCCTTTTATATTTCCCTGCCTTGTTGTTTATGTGTACATACAGAGGAAGAATGTGAGAACAGCACACATTTCATCGTTACTGTGTGCTGTACCGCAGTTCTGTGTCCATGCATGCAGCAAACTGAAAGCACTGTCTGTCGGAGCGTCTACGTGAAAAGAGAAGGAAGACATTGCTGGTAGTATTGTCTTCAGAGTTGTTAACACCTCAGCGCACTGAAGGAAGCCATCTGACTGTGTGAGGGGCAAGATCGTTGATGTCTGCAGGCAGAGTAGGAGCTTTCCTGTCTGACTGGTCCACCAATAGCAGAGAAGATGACCCCTTGAGACACAGCCCCTCCTCATTTGCATAATGAGGCAGAAATGCATACAAAATTTAAAAAAGACAGGCAGAAATAAATACCATGGGTGAAAATAAATAAGGTAAATAAATACAAAGGAAGAATAAAACAGACAAAAATATTAAACACACACATAAATAAATACATTAAAAAAATTTGTAATAAATAAAGTTGAATAAACAAATAAGGTAATTATAACAAAGGTGAATAGTAAAGGCACTAATTAAATATATACATTTATGTCTCCTTGTATAATTTAATTACTACCTACATTTATTTATTTACTTTATTTTTTTGTGTATTTAATTGGATGCTTATTTATTTATTGAGCATTTATTTATTTCTGTATTATTTCTGACTGTGTCAGGATCGGTCCTCCATAACGGGGTGGGAGAGTTATCAAGCACGTAAAGTTTGGTTCAGATGTGAGCATGTACACTGAAGTTACAACAACTTCCTGTGTCATGGCGAAGACTTGATCTCTGACGCCACGCCACGGACACACCCATTGACGAAAACTCGCAAATAGCACAACTTTTCATCTTCAATGCCTTTAGAAGGCACAGCACAAATTTGAAGTCGGTCGGACTAAATCCCTAGGAGGAGTTCGTTAAAGTACGAAGTGTGTAAATCATCCAAAATTTGACGTAAAATTCAAAATGGCCTACTTCCTGTTGATTTTAGGGCATCGCTCCAAGAGGCTTTTTTGTGCGTCTGGACAAGATACACGTACCACAGAAAATTCGTGCACGTAGGTAAAACGTGCGGCGGGGCTGCTTCGTTAAAAGTCACTTCCTGTTGCCAGCAGGTGGCGCTATGACTGTCTGTGAATGTCAGCATGTACATGTGTTCAGGGCGGGACTCTCATCCTACATGTACAGTTTGGTCCAGATGTGAGCATGTACACTGAAGTTACGACAACTTCCGTGTCATGGCGAAGAGTTGATCTTTGACGCCACGCCACGGACACGCCCATTGACGAAAACTTGCAAATAGCACAACTTTTCATCTTCAATGCCTTTAGAAGGCACAGCACAAATTTGAGGTCGGTCGGACTAAATCCCTAGGAGGAGTTCGTTAAAGTACGAAGTGTGTAAATCATCCAAAATTTGACGTAAAATTCAAAATGGCCGACTTCCTGTTGGGTTTAGGCTATGGCTCCAAGAGACTTTTTTGTGCGTCTGGACAAGATACACCTACCACAGAAAATTCGTGCACGTAGGTAAAACGTGCGGCGGGGGCTGCTTCGTTAAAATTCACTTCCTGTTGCCAGCAGGTGGCGCTATGACTGTGGGTGAATGTCAGCATGTACATGTGTTCAGGGCGGGACTCTCATCCTACATGTACAGTTTGGTCCAGATGTGAGCATGTACACTGAAGTTACGACAACTTCCGTGTCATGGCGAAGAGCTGATCTTTGACGCCACGCCACGGACACGCCCATTGACGAAAACTTGCAAATAGCACAACTTTTCATCTTCAATGCCTTTAGAAGGCACAGCACAAATTTGAGGTCGGTCGGACTAAATCCCTAGGAGGAGTTCGTTAAAGTACGAAGTGTGTAAATCATCCAAAATTTGACGTAAAATTCAAAATGGCCGACTTCCTGTTGGGTTTAGGCTATGGCTCCAAGAGACTTTTTTGTGCGTCTGGACAAGATACACGTACCACAGAAAATTCGTGCACGTAGGTGAAACGTGCGGCGGGGGCTGCTTCGTTAAAGGTCACTTTCTGTTGCCAGCAGGTGGCGCTATGACTGTGGGTGAATGTCGGCATGTACATGTGTTCAGGGCGGGACTCTCATCCTACATGTACAGTTTGGTCTGGATGTGAGCATGTACACTGAAGTTACAACAACTTCCTGTTTCATTGCGAATCATCGACGCCACGGACACGCCCATTGACGAAAACGCGCAAATAGCACAACTTTTCATCGTCAATGCCTTTAGAAGGCACAGCAGAAATTTGAGGTCGATCCGACTAAATCCCTAGGAGGAGTTCGTTAAAGTACGAAGTATGTAAATCATCCAAAAATGGCCATAAAATTCAAAATGGCCGACTTCCTGTTGACTTTAGGCTATGGGTTCTTGAGGCTTTTTTGTGCGTCTTGATACGATACATGTCCCCAGAAAATTTCGTACATGTAGGTTGAACGTGAACGAGGGGCTAATCATTTCCAATTTTCTAGGTGGCGCTAGCGAGTCATTTTGCCACGCCCATGTGCGAAACTTGTAGAATACGAAATTTTCACCGGTTCTGACATGTTTGCAAATTTTGGTGAGTTTTCGAGTATGTTTAGGCCATGTCATTTGGGCCTACTTTGCAGAAAAAAAAAAAAAAAAAAAAAAAAAAAAAAAAAAATAATCCGAGCAATTTCAATAGGGACCTCGCACGGTCGTGCTCGGGCCCTAATAAAGTGCTGTTTGTGTGAGCAGTCCGCTCCCTCCATCCTGGTCAGTAACAGGGAGTGGCTTGTGGTTAGCATGCTCTGGAAGCCTGAGTGAAAGAGGCCAGGTTGTGACTGGCATCCAGCTCTTTGTACAGTACTGTATGTGTGGCCGGCCCAGCTGTAGCTGACTAAACTGGACATGTTTTTACAAACATGATCCAGAGCACCAGGACCCCCTAAATGTCCCCAAACCGTAAATAGACAAAACCATTCTGCACATATTTTCTTTTTGTGTCTAATGGAGGGGTCTACATACTACAGTCTACATTTAATTTTACATCATCCTAGCTCAATGAGGCTCTAATATTCAAAATCTGTCTAATTCGGTGCCAGATTTTCCTTTTACAGTTAATTAAATCTGCTGCTGTGTAAACAGATAACGTTAGAATGCAGTGTGGCATAATATATACTATATTTGAATGATGTCACCAAGTCATGGATTGTAGACCTACAAGTAAGGAAAATCAGTCTACAAGTTTGTAAAGACTCGCTTTAGTCAAATGTGCATTTCAGACTGAAGACAGTACAGGATGTAGTTCACTTGGTACATATAGGTAAAGTCTCTGAAACATTCACACACCACAAGAGGAAGTCAGTTTGAATCTTTCTTCCATATCATCATGTTATTGCTTGTTTACTGTCACACTGGTGGAATCATGGAGACAGTGCTGAATCCTCTCTGTGTTTAAATTATCAAAAAATGTAAAAACTCCAGAGGCAAAGAGCAAAGATTTAAGCTCCTGTGATTAACTCAATAAACTGTACTGTTACTGGCATTAGAATTGCATTACTGAGTGTTTGGTCTGGTTGCTACTAAAACATTCCTATTGATTTAGCTTCAGAGACACTGCTTCCTATCTGGCTTCTTTCATTAGCCATGCTCCTTGGCAGACGTTTAGTTGGAAGTTTTACCAGGAAACCAGAAGGATTTTAATTTCTAATAGCTTGCTGCTGAACCACTGCAACATGTCATGTGTTGGACTTCTGATTAATGTCAGTGTGCTCAGAAAGTTTTTTCTTCCTGAAACCATCAACCTCAAGTCAGTATATATTTACATTAATAGTCTGAGTAAAAGAGTAATCAGAGCTCAATGTATTCATAGTGTGGGAAAGATTGTCTGTTGATATTTGATACAAAACTAAATTATGTACATACTAGAACATCAACGATTTTGAAAACATATGTATTTGCGATTATTTTGACAGATTGCAACTGCAATATGATTTACGATATTGGAGGGATGGATCATTTTAAATAATTATTCTCATTTTCATTGAAAAAACGTATTTAATAAAAAAATTGTGTTTCCATTTTATTGCTCATTATATGGCATCACTTTACATTATATATATTATTAAGCATTTAATAAACATTAAGCATTATATAAACATAATATATAAATTGTTGATAGCACAACATAATGTAGTTGTAAGCAGATATATTTATTATTATTATTAATGTATTTAACAACTGTGGGCACCCATAAGTGGGGGCTGGTATAACAGTTAACGAATGACAATATACTAAAACAAACTCTTCAAATCTGCTTAAAACTACATTATAGTGTTTAATAAATGATAATATACTGCTTATAAGAAACATAGTGTCATATTCAGTTATTCATTTTTAACCAAGCTGGGGAAAGTCATGTACAGTGATATATCAGTTCATATTTCAGTCTGATTAGTCACAGTAGTAAGTTTTGTGTGCTTAAAAATCTATTCATTGGACGTTTGAATACTACAAACTAGCACTAAAAATCTCCAGACATAAGTTGTCGTCTCATATTTCTGTAAGGGGAAAGTAAAATGAGATGCATCCATCATGCTTGCAGCTTGCAGGTTGCGAGCTGTTAAAAGTAAAAGTCTCCCAACCCTGGAGCAAGAGGAATGAAACCAGGGAAGGGCAGGTAGGTGTGAGGCAAGATCTGTCCCAACCTGCATTGTTGGATTACAGTACGCAGCCCTCAGCTTCCTCCTCCCATAACGCTTGTTATTCTAACCATGGCTGTGACATCAAATCTCCCAACACTTCACTTTCGCAAGACTTATCCGGCTTCCAAGTCATGACAAGGTTCCTGAAAGACTAGTAGGAAGGTGTCAGGCATTTACAGAGAATGTTGGTCTCTCTTTGGAAATCTTAAAGGAGGTGAGCACCGTGAGAAAGTGAGTGTGTGTGGTGAATGATTAGACAGTCAGCAGTGAGCGTGGGACTACTGTAGCACCTAGTATCTCAACTGCTGGGATCAGAAATGGCTTTAAGGACCAGAGAGGAGCAGTGAGACATTTACAGGTAAGACCGCTGTAATAAATCTTGCTTGTCATACTGCTTTGTGTGTGTGTGAGGTCCACTGTGATTCTCCTCAGGTTATTTTGATGATGTGGAAAAATCCACAGTGGCATTTTAATGTAGTCTTTATTTCCTTTGGCCTTTTTTTGAATCTCATGCTGCCAAAGACAGAATACTTTCCTGTGGTTATTCTCAATAAGTGGCCTGGGTTTTCAATCTGCCTTTGATCTTAGGAATAAATTGAGTCTTTTCCACGCCGATTTACTTTTCATGCTGCAGTGTTGAGTGAATATCATGGCCGCTTCTTTGATTTGTCTCTTTTGCTGTGATGTTTTTGTTCACACCTATCTCTCTCTTGTTGCAGGTGCCAGTCGGCATCACCGTGTCCTGTTCTCTCTGCCAGTCAGGTGCAGAGCCAGCAGCCTCTGCTCAGCGACAGTGACAGCTCTGGGAAGCAGAGTAGGTACGTCAGGACTGACGGCAGGTTCCTGGTACGTGCTGGCTGGAACAGAAAAACTGCTACCTTGTGCAGTGGTGCATCTCTCATAGGTGACACTGACTCCCAAGGCCGTCTCACCAAGTCAAAGAGCATCAGCTGCCTGGACAACAGGCTCTCCATCTATAAGCCGCCAGCTCAAACCAAGTCCTGTCAGGACAGTCAGGGCTTCCAGGAGCAGAAGGAGACACAAGGGGATCTCTCTCCAGGAGATGGACTTAATGGTAGGCCCCTGAGTTGGAGCACGCTTTCACTGGGACCTTCCTCTAACCAAAGACACAAACGCACCCTCTCTCTCAGCCGCTCAGTTGCAGGTGTTCCCCCTGCCACAATCCGCAAAAAGATCTCAGAATGGGAGTGCAGAAGGGTGGCTCTGCCTAGGATGAGCTTGTGTCTAGATAAAAGAGCGGGAGAGCGTGTAGGAGGCAGTGAGGGCTGCCCAAGCCTCCTCTCCTCTCCCTGTAGCGAGAAAACATTTGACTTTAAGGGGGTTCGCAGGATGAGCACAGCTTTCTCCGAATGCTCCTACACAGAGACAGAAGAAGAGGAAGGAGTTTCAGGCAAAGACAGCGTGGGTCGCTTCCAGAAAAGGATAGGCAAATCAGAATCAACATTTGTACGTTCCCTGTCTGCTCGGAAGGAGACGTCTGCAGTCCTCAACAGGATTCAAAAGATAGAGCAAGCCCTGAAGGAGAATCCCAGCCCATCGCCTCCACGTTACCTAAGTAATTGCTATACTCCAGACAAGACAAGACAAAAGTCTTTTGTGATAGGTGATGATTTGGACAGCACATGCACCAGTAAGCGCAGCAGCATTTGCTCAGTTGCTACTGAACCAGATGCTGTTTTAGTGTCTGATAAGCTCTCTAAACTCAGACAGAGGTTTAGTGTTAGCTCCGCCAGATCCGAGAGTCCAGAACCCCCAAGCCAGCAGATCTCTGTCGGCACTCCAGTCAACCCCTTACCTAAACCCAAACGCACTTTTGAGTATGACGCCAAAGGGGACCAGAAGGGCACACTGCCAGCCAATGGACTACCTCCAAACAGAGCCTCTGAGTCTCCCCCACCTCTGCCCTCGACCCCTGCACCCAGCATGACTCGAACGGTGAAGGCAGAGGGGAGCACCCCAATGAGACTCCAGGACAGGTGAGAATATCAGTGTGCTGATGTCTGACTCCTCCTCAGCAGTAAACAGTTAAAATGAGTTCCACCAAGACAGCAGTGGTACACGCTATGAGCAGATTCTCTAAACTGAGGTATTGGAAACTGTATCAGGAGAGAATATGTTTGACCCTCCTGTGAGGAATTTAGATCCCGGGCAAGACAAGTGTTTGCTTTGTTGGTGTGGTAGTAATAAGTAACTGGTCAGTGGGTCTGATTATGGCTTTTTGAGCGATCTACATTCTGGTTCTCCGAAGTTAGTCTTTAGTTAGGATTTGAAGTGGAGATCAGTGTTGAATCAGTTGTTATGTTTCCCAAAAGACATTTGAAGAATAATAATATTTTTACTTAAGGTTAAGAGCAAAAAGTTCTTGTCACCCCAGCTTTCCTAATGTAATCATACTGAATAATTTCATCAAAGGTTAACTGTGGGCTAAATGCCTACTGGGTATCATAAAAGCAGCTCTTACTAAACATATCAGAATTATTGTACAGACCGTTTGAAATGTCAGATTCTTTCCAGAAATTAATTTTGGTCCGTAAAAAGATTTGGCAATTTAACACACTCCTAACAAATCTACAGGATATTCATACTCAAAAAGAAGTCCACTTAAATTCTTTGCCTGTAACTAAAGCTACTCCACATATTCAACAATGAATATCTTATAGAAACCAGTGAAATCCAACACTGGATTACTGTGCCGCTTTGGTGCATAAATATTTGCTGCGCCCTGGATACTGTAGTCTGCTCTTGCTTTTTTATTCTTAACTTATAGCTCTCAGGATCAGAGGTCCTCAGTTTGGTGAGGGTGGAGCATCTCCAGATTGTCCCTATGTAAAATGGGGATGAAAACCTTAAACGTTCATCCGTTGGACTCTGTGTTTAACATTCCTGTGGCTCTAGCAATTTCAGACCAAGCTTAAAAGCCACAAGCTGTCGATGGCGCGACATGACCATGCTGTAGATCCCTGCACTAATGTAGCAAAGTTGCTCTGCAGTGCCTTGACATCTGATGTGTGCCTTATACTGTGCAAAGAACACTCAGAAATAGTAAGATATCTGCATGGTTACTTGTGACTTATCAAGAATTTCATGTTGATCATGGTATTTCTGTTTTTTCTGTATTTTATACTTGGTGGCTCCCCAATTATGGTTTTTAATGGATAAGACAATGTTTTTGATTTGTGTTTTTAACCGCTAGAACCACATGCTCAGGACTATATTTAATACCATCTGCACTTTTTCTGTTTACTTTTATCTGTCTAACTCCTTTGACACCGGCCCTTACTGAGTCTTGTAATTTTGCCCCTCATTATCTGTTTTGACTTTCTTCATTTCTCTCCAGAGAGTCGTGTGAGTCGGAGGATGCTACGAGTCTGCCATCTTCATATCTGTCTTCACCTACAGAGAATGGCACATTAACCACAGACACACGGAGTCGACCCAATTCCAAAAGCACTTTAGAGGAGAATGCTTATGAGGACATAGTAGGTAAGCACACTGGTTCACCGGCTTTGACAACAGTGGAGAGGACCTTTATTTCACTTTGATCACTCACTGGTTTCTGTCTGACCAGGGTCACTCAAGGATACAGTTTAGAGCTGAAACAATGAGTCGATTAATCTGTCAACAGATATGTAATCTTTTATTAAACTTTTTTGATAATCAATTAAGCGTAATAGTCATTTTAAAAGTAAAATAGACAACAAATGTCAGGTTTACGCTTCTTGAATGTGAATAAATTCTGTTTTTCTTTGTATTTTATGATAGTAAACTGGATAATTTGGGTGTTTGCTCTGACAAAACAAGACATTTAAATGTGTCAATTTGGGCTTTTGGGAAATTGTTGATGGACATTTTTCACTATTTTCTTTAATCAAAGAAAGAATTGACACAATAATCGATAATGAAAATAATTCTAGTTGCAGCCCTACTACAGTTTAATTTGAACTCATGCTTAGAAAATCATGATATTAGACATTGGTTATAAAAGAGACAGGGACAGTATGCTAGTAATCTGGCAGTTGCTTTGCAAAATTCCAGATGAAGGATTACTGTGAGGGATTGTAGTAAGATCCAAATAGGCTAGTATTTATAAAATGATAGTATTGTATTACATCATAGTATTTTTGAAACAGCTTTTGTATTTATGACTTATGTAATTACATCCTTTTGGACGTGTAATGACATTATTATAAATTGAAAGTATTGGCAGACAGATTAAATAAAAGGTGATCTTCCCCTGTACCAGAACATCTTAACTTTCCAAGAAATGTGTGTTCAGAGCCTTCCATGAAGAGTAAATACATACATTATATCGTTATTGTGAATTCAGCAGTGGCCTTAGAAGACAAAGTAGTCAAATGTCTGAGTAAAAGTGATAGCCCCGTGCAGCATGGCCTAATGTAACAACACTGAGGGTAGCTCCTCCTCTTGCATCTGTCTCATGTAGAGGTGCGGGTTATAGAAAAAGTCTCACCATGGGAGCAGAAATTAAGGGACAACGTGGTTGTAAAGGTTGTGTTTTACTGGAAAGATTATCTGGTTGTCTACATATTTCACACTGCTATCCAGCAGTCTACTAACACATATTCATAGAGGCTGAGCACTGGAAAACTCTCACGGAACAACTCTTTTGTACACAAAGCATATTGTTTTCAATAATAGCTGCAATTGTGCAGCCCTAGGACCAAACTTACAGCAAAGAAAGTTTATTTTGTTGCTTAACTTTCATTGTCGGGCATCATCTTCTCACATTGCACCCCATTTTAGCGGCACGTTGTGTATCTCACTGTTAACAGGATCAACTCAAATCTTCTCTGAGATAATGTGTGTATGAAATGCTGGAGATGTTGAAGAGCCAAATTCCTTTCCGCCAGCAAATGACCCCAGGCCTTCTGCCCAGTCCAATTGCCTGTTACCCTAGTGCATACTTAATGTGGTGGAAATGTGTGTCAGTGTGAGTACAGTCTCATGATGAAGCTTGGATTTCAGATGCTGTGAAACTTTTTCACACTCTCCCAATATTTTTCATGACTAATGCTCAGTGATAACCAAATATGGGTTAATGCAAGTATCACATTACATCATGGTATTTCTACAAGAAGCCATGATGTTCTCGAACCGGTTATCAGTGTCGTGCTCAACATGCTGCATTTTTCCCCTTTTTTTTTGAGAGAGTGCCAAGGCATGCCAGATTTTCATGTGAATCCCAACAAAGACCCCATTGTTCATCCAGCACTGTTAGTGCAGAGTTTGCAGTTTGGAGAAGCACTTTTGCCAGTATCTGTTTGTTCCTCACAAAGACATTGTCAGTGAGTTTGAAATTGCCCCAGCTATTTCCAGCTATTTAATACAAAGCTTTCAAACTGAAGTCCCTAATAGAGGAGAGCAGTAGTTTCCACCACCACTATGCAGTGGTTTAAAGGTCAGATCATCCATGTGAGAAACAGCCGCGGCAGTAAATGAGCCATGTTTTGGTCCCTCTGAGCCCCTATTTTAACAAACCATATTATACAGACAACCAGAAGTCCCCAAACATTCCTGAACTCCACAAGGACATCTTTACTTCCCTAGCTGTCTTGGTAGCCCATTCACTCACACCATTTAATGTTTTTGGCACCTGTGCTCGATGCAAGATGTTTACATTAAGGGTGCAAGTCATTTGCAATCTATTCTGCGGTGTCACTACAACTGCATGATAGATTGTGATCTAGGGGACTGTTTTAAGTGCTTTTGACTTGTGTAGTTGATAAATGGAGTGCCAACAAGTGATCTGTTTACAGGCAGATTAATCACACCCTGTGCTCCAGTGACACTATGATTCAGTGTGTGAATCAGTCTGTGTTTTGTTACCTTCGCTGACGTACTTTGCTCAAGTGCCGTCTGCTCTCACTCTTGTGAGTAAAGCTGGGAGACTGTCTGGTACATGTAATAAAATTCTTATAAAATTACACTTAGACAGTTGCATACATTGACCTATGATTTTGTTATTCTTTGGTACAAAATATGCCTCCAGTTCAGTCACAAGCACAAGATTGTCTGTATGGTTTGTGGTGCTGCCAAATGTTCTTATTTTAACTTATTTTTTCATCTGATGCACCTTTCTGCTTTCTGACTGAATGGGTGAGCACTGCCACTGTACAGTAGTTGGTCCACTTTATAGGATAAGCTGATACATTGTTGGTATAGTTTATTCTGTGCCTCGCCCTGACCAGAGAGTCCATTGTGTGCACAGAAATGTACACTCACAGTGTGCAGCCTAGGTGTGTCCACTCCCTTCATAATACTGTGTGTCTGACTGGGAGTGTGTTCGAGAGATCTGGATGTTTGTAATCAGAGGAGTAGATTAGTACCCTCCAGTACATAAGCAGCTATACAGACATGTCATTTTCCCAGCAGGCTCTCATTACAGTATTGCTTCAGTTTAATGGAGTTGTAGCACAACGTGGGGTCAGACTAAGCCCTCTTATTCTGCTACTCAGTTTTAATGATGCACAGAAAATCACTCCAGCAGGCTAATTTACTGTGTGACACAACATGTAACGCTGTGAAGATCCCTGCCGGTGTATATTTGTCTGCGTATGTGTGCATGGGTGTGTGTTTTTACCTCAAACAGGTTTAATTATTGACCTAAAAATAGATAACCAAACAAAGCTCTGCCTGTAGGTTGATCTTGGATGTTTTTTAAAACACAGTCATTGTTTGAGATGCTGAGTTCATCTGGTTTTCCACCAGTATACTCAGGAAGAAGGAGCACAGCCACCGAGGAGAGTTTTAATCTTTCCTTTTCTACTGACAGATAACACTGCTTTTCTTTCTTTTAAAAGTTCCCCTCATGCATTTCGCCGCCATCTGGCTCTGTTTTTATTCTTCACTGTGGTTTCTTCACTTTCTCACAACCTTTTTCAGACCATGCCAAAAAGCTATTCTCAGAGCACATGTCTGAATAGACATGGACTGTGGTGTTACACAAGTTTTCTCTTTATTGAAGTTGGCCCTCTGCCAGGTGACATCAGGGAGAGCTGCACAGTGCTCTGTAATGCTCATTTTCTTTCCCTTTTCTGCTATCATTTATTGACTAAAGTACATCTATAGAGCAGTAGTGTTGCATTTTTTTTATTTTTAAGGCCCTAAAATCAATTGACAATGGAATCCTAGTCTGAGTATAAACTGTGGTTTTCAAACCTGATTGCTTATGTCTTGTTTGCAGTTCTGCAGTACGTTTAAGCATGTGGCATGGGGTTAAAAATGTTGTCATTTTCCATATTCTGTTTTTGTTTTTTGTTTTTTACAAATATACTGTATTTGTCTGTATTTCACAAGAAAGAAGAAATATGTAGGTCATTATAATAATATATCTGTGCATTAAAATACAACTTCACATTAGTTGAACAATTGTATTGCGAGAATCAAAGTCTAAGAAGATGAGTCTCCTCCTCATCTCTCACAGCAGACACTTAGCATGCCTGGACGGTGACTCACCAGAAGTGTTGTGTCCAGAAGTTTTAGCTGGACCCACTAGGGCCTGTGGGGCCCAGTGCCAACAGTAACTGTTTTGAAAAAAGAGTTCACTTGAGCCAGCTGGGAGTGACCTTTGACGAACCTTTCATGAGTTATCTATTTTCAGACTAGCCAAAGTGAGGTGCTCTTGTGCCCCGGACACCCTTTGCTGCCCCCTGTTTACCCTTTTTTGACGCCACAGCCTCGTCTGTCTTCTGTTGAAAACATCCTCTGTCTGTGGACAGTTGCTAGCTTTACTGCTGACAGAATATTTGAGCTACATTGAATGCTTACATACTTCATCCCCACAGAGAAGGAGAACCCATATGAGGATGTTGACCTGAAACGGAAGAGTTTGGGTCGAAAGTCTTGTCTGCTGCTGGAGAGCAGCAGATCGTGGACCACCATGGACAGGAAGCTGAACTCTCCACCTCAGGTAAGTCTGTACGCCTATTCAGGGATCAACAGCATAACAGCAGTAAACATAACATATGTTTTTGTGTGGTGATGTGAATCCCTAGGTATCGGTGTTGAATCCTGGACAGGATCTTTCTCACACCTCATTTGTGGCACTACAGGAAACAGTTTGACATGTTTAGACCTGGAGATTCTCCATAGAAAGGCTCATCTGCTTATCTGCAGATTTGGCTCCCTCACTTCAACACGGCCTCACTATAGAAAGGGAAGACACCCTTGGTTACTGGTGTTAACTACAAGTGGAGTTTAAAACTCCAACAAATATTCATTAAGCAGCTACTATCTCAGGTACACAGCAGATGAGCAACTGCTGAATCTGTTTACAGTGCAGCCAAACAAACTCATGTTGTTTTGGTAACAAAGTCAGTCAATAATTGGCTTTTTTTTCATCATGCAATGAGTGACTGCAATTGGATTTCATGCTGCACATGGCGGGAATAGTTTTCACACAACAGCAAGACACAGCAAAGTTTGTTACTTTGCTGAGGAGTTGTAGGTGTGCAGCTTGTTGCCTGCAGCTCTTCATGTAACAGCTCACTGGCTGCTCCTTCTTGTTATATTCCTCCCTAAAATGCTTAGACAGGTGCTTAGAATCCAGCATGGGAATAGTGGACCCCGCCACTAACAATGAAAACTACTATATATAAAGAGACAATTGGGACTCAAAGAAAAATACCTTGAATTAATGCACTGGGATAGTGATCTATTAAAACCATACAAATAAATGAATGAAATGTACCAAACCGTCCATATTCTTTTCTCTTTGACTAGTTGCCTTCCAAACCCAGTAGCCAGTCCCTTCGCCTCCCCGGTCCGAGTGACAGGAAGAGCCACCGGATATCACAGTTGTCCAAACGCTACAGCCACGATGAAATGCTGCTTCTCCCCCAGCTGGGTGTATCAACTTCATCTTGTGGCTTGCTGGATGATAGCCTCTGTAGCACCAGTGATACCCTGGCCTCGCACAGGCACTGGAGGATCCCCAAGGTACACACTACTGGATCCTACACAAACACCTAAACTAAGTCGTTGCAGAGCTCTGACTGTGTTCTTTCTCTCCTTTCCTGCTTCTCAGACCAGCTCAGGTTCCTGTAGGGACCGAGTCAGACCCAGAGCAGCTCTGGATCACTTGTAATTCCTCAGTCTGGAAGAGACTTCTTTTTAACATAGTGCCTCACTGCGCGTAATTACTGCTTGGGTTTCAGCTCTTGTGGTATCTTTTCTCAAGAGCTCGCCTTGAAGCTTTTCAGTTCTATTTTTCAGCAACCCTTAAAGCATAGTAGAGTATTACTTTTGGCTAGGTGCACCCCCTTCTTCTATACTTAGGATCAAAAGAAGCAAAACTTCAGATAATAACCCATCAGAGAATTTCCTCTTTCCTCTGTTTACAGCTGGTCCAGAGGATCAACTCCATCTACTGCACTAAACGTGGGAAGAAGAGGCTGAAGAAGCTGTCCATGTCCAATGTTGAGACTATATCTCTGAGAGGTAAGGGCTTCCTTTATTGCCTTTATCCACTGGCCAGATAAGTGAGTAAATATTTGTGTCTCAGCCACCCACATAGCATTGCTGTGTCCCTCTCATGACATAAACACGTGTTTGTGAAATTGCACTCTGACCTGTAGAAAACCTTCTTGTCTGTCTCATGTCTGCCTCCAGATGACAACAGTGAGAGTGAGAGTGACTCTGACGACAGGTTCAAAGGTGAATGACCCCAGCATTTGTTCGTTACACGTCTGTCAGCTCTGAAACTTTTCTGAGAGCTGTTTTTGTCAGTGCTTGTGCAACAGCATGACCCTCTGTGCCCAGACAGACCACAGAATTGTAATTGAAACATTTGCTAAAGTAGACCATACAATCCCTTGTCTAGATTCAATGACAGGAATGAATACTAATGAGATTTAGTGATGTTTTCTCCCTGTTTTGGACACAATCTCTCGGAAGTGGCAGTAATACTTTCCTGACCAGCTGAAGGTTAATTCCATGTGAGCCTTAGATTTACGTTCTCAACTGTGTGAAAAGTGTGAAATTAGTTTAGATAGAATATAAATGTATTGATGTCCGCTTCCCTCCTCAGCTCACACCCAGAGGTTGTTGAAACTGCAGTCCATCCTTCGACGGGCCCCCAGCTACCGCACACTGGAGCTGCAGCTCATTGAGTGGCAGGAGAGAGAACTCTTTGAGTATTTTGTGGTTATTTCTCTAAAAAAGAAACCCAGCAAAAACTCCTACTCCCCAGAGGTCACCTACCAGTTCCCCAAGGTAAAAGCATCACAGTCGTAACTGAATCCATCCTCTGAATACATGAGGACCTCACTAGGTTAAGTGTTTTACCTCAGGAATAACAAATCACACATTCTACACAGATAGTTAATAGCTGATGGTTTTTCCAAAGCTTGCGATGGGGCAGAGTCACATTATTATCATTGTTCAGTGCTGCTGATTGATTTTAAAAGCACTCGCTGTAGTATATTAGTAAAATAGTCCATTTGTAGTTAAATGGCAAAAAGTTATTATTTTTATTATTATAATAATGATATTGATAATAATAGTAATTAAAATAAATAAATGTATGTGTGTGGATAACAGCAGAGCGTACACACCACATCTAATAGTGTCACAGACAGCAGCATCCAAACCTTCTTGACATAGGCAATGAGAGTTAACTATTAGACAGTTAAAGATGATGATGGAGATGAACTGTTGAACTGAAGCTGATGTAATCCAGTTCATATTTAGACGCTCTGGAAGATGTGAATGTTAATGCCACGGGGAAGGCGGGCTAGGCATGTTAGAATTTTCCCACCGTGAGCTTCTAGTCACAGATTATTACACATGTGTGCATGATGAAAATGATGATGTATAGGTCAGTGTAGGACAGTGCCTAATGGCCAGTTTTGAATGTTTAAATTGAAAAAAAAAACACATCTATATTTCTGTGAGCTTTTCACACTTGATGGTGCAGGTTGTTGACAATGTGAAGCGGGACTGCAAATAAGATTTATAACACGGTGCCTGGGGAGTCTTGGGAGCCTTGTTTACATTTCAAAATAACCAGGATCCATTTCTGTGGCAGGGAAGTGTTTTTAGTTATTCAAAGATATATTTGAAAGTTATTTAAGATTTGGTTCAGCAGGAGTGTCCCTTGGGAGAAGTATGTCTCTGCCAGCTAGAGGAAACATTCACTCTGTTGTGGAGTTAATGGGGACTGGAGGGGGCAAAGGTTTAACCTTTTATGGGAGAAATGTTAGTCTGGTCATTTATTGGTCACACTGACATCCATGGGGATCTTTAAAAAAGGAGGACACAGTTATCTGAAGGAGAATAAGCTGAATGAAACTCCTCTCCTCTCCTCTCCTCTCCTCTCACAGCTAGAGAGGCCCAGCAAGCAGATGAGGGAAGCAGAGCAGAGACTCAAAGCCATTCCTCAGTTCTGTTTCCCAGATGCAAAAGACTGGAGACCTGTGTCCGAGTACACCAGGTATGACTGAGAATCAAACTAATTCAGTGTCAAATTCATAATTACTAATTGGCCTGTTAAAGGGAAAGGATTTATCATTGCACTTCCATAAAGTTGGTTAGAGGATAGTCAAAGGCAGCTTGCAGTATCAGCTGTTGCTAAATGTATAAATTAAGGTTTTGAGGGAATATAAATTAGCTATCATGGATAACAGAAACAACTACTTTCCACATAGCGTATTTTGAAACTGCATTATTAATAATAATTTTATGGTGTTGATGCTTATCAACAATGCTTCCCATCATGATTGTCTTTGAGACACCTTCAGACTTGTTGCTGGCATAAGGGATAAAATCTTTTATCTGCTGCTACACCATCACATAAATGTTAAACTGGGCCAGGCCCAGCACAAATGTGTTGTGCACTCATAATTCTGTGCACTGTGTCTGATTATTATATGTATGTGCAACTGTCTACATGTGTATCTGTGTTTGTGTTGATTCTCATGTGTGTACATTTGTTTTGTGCTACAGCGAGACCTTCTCCTTCATGTTGACCGGAGAGGATGGCAGCAGGAGGTTTGGGTACTGCAGACGCCTGCTGGTAAGCCACTGTTCAACCTCTCATCCTCTGCATCCTGTTCACACCCTGCTAAGCCCTGTTTGTTGTGACAGGCCTTTTCATGTGAACATGTGATACAGTTTTCCTGTGGGGCCATTTGGGTGTTGCATGACCGTCTACTGTGGCAGGAGGAAAGAGAACATATAAAGCAAAAAGGACGAAACTAAAAAGAAAGAAACTGAACTTGAAAAATTAGTACACAAAAAAGATTCACCCACTCATTACTATAGCTGCTGATCAGCATGAGGATAACGTACAGGGACTTCTCAGCCCAAGAAATACCTGGAAAAATCTGGAATAACAAACATTCAAACCACATTGCTATCTAAGGACAGCGATAACAAAAATGCATTTGTGGGGTTTAACATTGTATGTTGCATAAATTATAATATAAATATATAAATCTGACATTAAAAATGTATTTTGAATTTGATATAATCACATGCTTAGAAAAAGAACAAAATGAAATGCAGTTGCCACATTCTGTTTTAATTGTGTTAATACTGCAAACATTCAGTCACAGTCATAAAATGCATAAAAATATAATAAAAAATGTAATAAAATAAAATATGATAAACCCAGTAAGGATTGACTCATTCAATTTAATGAGAGTTTCTCAGGGGAGGCATGACAAAGAGAAACCATGAAAAGTCCTAACTTTGTCATTGTGGAGCATTTCCTCCTCATAATGAGGCTGGAGAGCACTTTGAAGTTTTCTGTTCTAAGCTTCCCATTTAGCTTGTGGGTAGAAAGCATGGCTGTGTGGGATGTCGTGAATGTGGTGGTGATTTTGTTTGCCGTTTGGTATTTCTGAGTATGTTTACAGTACTACAGTGTGTATGTTCTCAGAGGTTTACCGGGACTGTGGTGTGTGTGTGTGTATGTGCTGGATAACAGCCGGACGTTCTGTGAATCCTTTTGACCAGACAAAAATGTCTTAAAACTCGATCTGCTGTGTTGGTCTGAGAATCATCTTGATAGAAGCAGACTTTAATGAAGGTAGAGGAAGAGGTGAGCTGCTCTCCTCCAGAAACTTTGTTTCCTCCCTGCTGTCTGACCAGCCGTTGGCAGTAACCGAGCATTCCTGAGGACTTGAATCAAGCTCCACATAGTTGATTTAATCATCCATTTGGAAAAGCGGAGGAGAAACAAGAGGAGAAAATCGTATACCTAATATGGACAAGTGGATTGGCGGTTCTTGAGTGCTTGTGTTCATTTGCGTCTGTGTGTTTGAGTGCCTGTGACTTGAAGCACATAATGGTCTGTGAGCTTACAGAAGAAGGTAGATACAATCAGCAGGAGCGGATAAACCACCTGTGTTTAGGAAGTTGGTATCCACATAAAAGACTTTCACCTCATATCACAGTCTAGATTTAAAGACTTCAGCTACAGATATAAACAACTTATCTGCGTATTATGTTATCATGGTCTGACCCTTTATACATTGGTTTAAAAAAAATGTAATTCCACACATTGGATCAAAAAAGAACCATTTTTGCTCTGGTTCTCTCAGTAAACTTTAAAGGGTTACCGATCAACAGATTATTCAGCCTGTGAGAAGAAAGCATAATGTTCTTCTGTGGCTCAGAGGAGATTTTTAAAGCCTGGAAACTAACTGTAACAATGTCATCAGGGCAGCATCAGCTTGGGTTTGGAGACTATACATTTTCAGCAGAAATCATGTGTTACAAACTGAGGATTGTGATGTTTGAGATATGTGAACAGTTACCGGGAAGGAGGCTCTGACAAAAGTTGCCTTATGGGAAATGCAGGATCCACAATATTTGGGATTTACCTATACTTGAGACGTCAAGATATCTCAGTCTCTGCTACTTTGATTCTGACCATCCTTTTGTGAATCTGTTTCTTGTAAGTCTCCCAACTTTCTAGAAGTGCAATGCTATAAATCCTGGAATGCCCCTTTAATTGTGTAGACCGTTTTCAGAACGTCTGTGTGTGTCTCATCATCAAGTCTATTAACAGCAGTATCTGATGACTTTGTTTTGCTTTGTCTTACAGCCAACTGGGAAAGGACCTCGCCTTCCAGAGGTGTACTGTGTCATCAGCAGACTGGGCTGTTTTGACTTGTTCTCCACGGTGAGTTCAGCCTAGCGCATGCACTGGAGACAGGCAGTTACAGTAAGCAAGCTGTGTGTGGTGTAGCTGTGGTTAACCCGTCTCACAGCTGAAGTAAATGACTTTCAGCAGAACGCTTGTTCACTGGTAAACCTTGGTCTTTTTCTCTCTTTCTCTTTTTTTGTTAAAGTTTCTGATTTCTCAGAGTAACTGTTTCCTTCACTTTTGTGTCAGTGGTGCTAACATAGAGCAGAGATGTCACTGTGTTTGACTTTTTCAGCCTCATTTGCTTTCTTATTAATCCAACGTGGGTAAGTCCAGACTGTTTAACAAAGTGGCTGCTGTGGTAAATTGACTCGTATAGCGCCTTTTTAGTCATATTTACCCATTCACACGCTGATGGCAGAGGCTAATGTGCCCGCGCTACGTCACTTTCACCCATTCACACGCAGAGGCTAAGATGCCAACTGCTCATCAGAAACAGAAATTAACATCCACACACCATACTTTGGGGTTCAGTATCTTACTGCCAATGTTCCGATTAGTGGGCAATCCGCCTCCTGTGCCACAGCTGCTATATGACAAGAAAATAAAATGTCATGGTGTATTTCAAAGACAGCGTGCAATTGTGAACTAAATTGTGAAACCTTTTGAGAATGCAACCAAACTGTGATTAAATGCTGTACTGTTGCATGTACATGAAAATTCGGAAACCTGAAATGAAAAATCTCTATTTAGTTGTTGATTTAAAGAACAATAACTGTGCCATCAACAAAGTGTTTATTAGCACCAAGGTTTTGTGTAGTTTTGTGACATTTAAGGACCTTCAACAGATGCGAGAGTGCAAGAGAGTGCCTTAAATATTTCTATTTTGAGAGCAGTACAGAAGCAAACATGAGATGAAAACTAAAGGAATATATTTTACAAGTGCTTTCATGGTCAATGGGAAAGAAGGCCAGTGTTTGATTTCAGAGGGATGTGTGTGTGTGTGAGAGAGAGAGACAGACAGACATTCAGAGAGATGGAGAGGATGAGAGAGGTGATATCATGTGACCTTGAAAACAAGCGATTCTCCAATCAACTTTCCAGACAGAAGGCAGCATGGACCAAAACAGGCAGACAGGCACACTGTGTGGAATTTTCCAATCACACAGGCATGGAAAGAAATTCATTTGCTATTTTTCAAAACAGAAAATGAATGCCAATGAGTTCCAGACAATTGCTAGTAGTCAAACAATAAGTTTCCATTAATTTTTGCCATGGTCAATAACGTTGATGACACTGCACTTTTTTTGTCTTTCTTGGCTATTCATTCAACATAGATAAAACCCTAGGCTCCTTTCATGTTAATCACAAAAGATTTACAAAGACTTTTGTGTTGCTGATGTTAAAACTAGTTGAAATATGTTGATTAAATAGTGCTCTGTCCTCCTATGTTCAGATCCTGGATGAGGTGGAGCGGAGGCGGGGCGTCTCTGCAGCCCTGGTCTACCCCTTCATGAGGAGTCTGATGGAGTCGCCCTTTCCTGCACCAGGGAAGATTATCAAAGTTAAGACATTTCTGCCCGGTGCAGGAAATGAGGTCAGAGCTGCTGACAAAGCAGAACACAACTGCTTTCTCTTTCGCTATTTTAATTACGCCCAAGATACAGTTTTGATGAAGAAAAAATATTCATAGTTAATTAGATCCACAAACCTTGATGCCTTAATCTTCACATTTTTGTCATTCAGGTCATTGAGCTGAGGCGACCCACCGATTCCAGACTGGAGCATGTGGACTTTGACAGTCTGTTCAGTTGCCTCAGTGTACGGCAGGTGTTACGAGTCTTTGCTTCACTGCTGCTGGAGCGTAGAGTCATCTTTGTGGCTGATAAACTCAGGTGAGTCTCCACGAGTTGTCTTAGCCCCACTGTAGTGAGACCATCATCTCCAAAACATAATTTAAATGAAAGAAACCACATAATTTGCATGTGTGAGCAGTGTGAGAGATTGAGTCTGTGACATTTGCTTAGTACATATTTTATAGTAATGGGGCCAAAACAAAAATGGAATACCATTTCCTACATTTTTGTTTTAATAGAAGATTGCCTAGGCACTGAAAGTTAATTTAAATTCACTTCACAATATCACTCATGGAGCCATGTGTCCCGTGATAGATTGGCAACCTGAATAGCGTTTACACTTCTCATTCAGTGTGAGCTGCTATAGGCATCAGCCTCCTGTGACCCTCAACAGAAGAAAGGGGGTTAGAAAATGGGTGGACGGATGAATGGATATCATTGAAGGAATGACTGGTATGGCAAACTTTATCGCAGTTGTTCAGTATATACAATGCATCTTGTGGTTCCAGATTTCATTGCTTTAGCAGTTATAGTGTTCAAGGAACAATGTTAGAAAGTTAGTTGCCACCACATGTCACTACAAATGTTTTAATGGTCACAGGACATTTTAGATCTGTTAGCTTTGCTCCAGTGGGTTTGTTTAACCTGTCCTGGCACACTGTCATAGTTTTCCATGCCTAGTGATCATCCGAAACTGAGAAATAGCTTTTCCAAAAACTTTTCACAGACCGCCAGCTAGACAGTCCATACAATCCTGGCTAAAGATGGCAGAATTACAATAACCTTTCTACATACACAGACACATAGTAATAGCAGCATTATGCTGTGGTTCTGTCAGCTGGGCCTTAACAAATGCACCATGTGTGGAACTCTTTGATTATTATGTTGTGATTAGTATCAGAAAGTCAGGCAACAGGTCATTCAGTTAGCTAGTGAGTCCGTCAGCTGCCAGTTTTGATACCAGAAGTAAATTGGGTCACACCAGTGAGAGTCACTGCCAGAGGAGAACAGGGTGGGGCTGGAGTCTCCAAGGACTCTGTGTCCCAATCTGTCCTCTTGTTACAGAAAAAGAGAGGGGTACTTTTAGAGCATTGGAGGCGAGGTTGTAGTGGAAGGAGATTTTAGTGGAGAAGTAATCTCTCTATGTATCTCAAAGCCCAGTTTAAACAAACATCAGTGGGGGCAGTGACTGTGATGAGAAGGAATGTACTTCCTGTGTGCGCGACTCTGCCCTCTGTGATCTGTGGCTCGACTGTCACTGTTTGACTTATGATGCCACGTTCGCTCCCTCCGTATGAGCTACAGCACTCTCTGTGTCCCTGGAGAAAATCGGTCTATTACCAGAGGTGATAACATCAAGGAGTCATTGGGTGGGATTCTTATGGTAACTGATGATACAATATTATCATGATGAATTGCCCAAGACAGTGATCATATTACTATACCAGCTAGCACAGCAGTCATTTATGATGCAATGCAATGTCATATTGTACATCACTCGCTGCATGAAATGCTGTGGGTTTTCAGACAAAATTGCATTCATTCATGGTTTTCAGAGGATGAATCCCACTGACTTTGGTGATCCCCTGACATTGCTTCTGCTGTCACTGTGAGGTTCGCATTTGTGGTTATGAGTAAAATATCTCTACAACTATTGGATACATTGTCATGAAATTTGGAATTTTTCTTATTAACAAATGTTAGCATGCTAACACGCTAAACTAAGAGGGTCAACATGGTTAAAAATTATACCAGCTAAACATCAGCATGTTAGCACATTATGAGACATTCAAATTCAAACTACAACTTAAGTTGCAGCAAGCTGAAATGAGTCCAAGAAAGTATAAAAATTAGTTTAATCATTTTGTGTCATGCTTACTTACTGTATGATCTGCTCAACCCTGTGTGTGTGTGTGTGTGTGTGTGTGTGTGTGTGTGTGTGTGTGTGTGTGTGTGTGTGTATGTGGATTCAATTGTGCATGCATGCATGCAGAGCTCCTGTGTTTTGGTTTCTTTTGAAAACAGTGACAGGGCCTCACTGCAGCATTAATGACTTCTATGATAAAAGGGCTGCTCCCTCTGGGGCTCTCGTACATAATCCATTCCCAAAATACCTCGCCAGCAGAACATGTTGAATGTTTCTTTCCCTTGAAATGTATATCTAATACAAGCAGGAAGTGAGGGGTAAAGCCATTTTAGGCAATAGTTCTCTGTGGGGTCTTCTATAGCTCGTTTCTTTGCCACGTTCTGTTCACTAAACTCTTGTAATATTAAACTGAAAACTTTGTTGTTTTTTCTAGAGTCGAGGTTGTTGCTTCTACTTGAAAGTGTGACAGTTTCTTTTGTTGTTCACCATCCGATGCCTGTAATAACAAGTTTAATGCCTGATCAGGTAAATTTATCACCTACTATGTCACTCTGTAATTGCTTAACTAAACTGACCTGCAGATGCTGAATGAGTTTTTTCTGCAGATATATGTAAACAGCCTCTATGAATTCTCAGGCTAGAGTTGAGGTCGGTTACCAAACTGTATGTATGTCTGGATTTATCTCTTGGCATGCCAGTAAAGTACTCCTACTGTACAGTTACTGTATTTTGGGTCTTAATGGCTTTCCCATAACTCCATCATTAAGATAGCTGAATCCCATCTTTCTTTCCTGCATTTAATCAGAATTGCCACCCTCAAAGTGAAAGTATAAAATAACATTTTATTGCAGAGATGTCCTGTTGCAGGATGTGGATGTCTCACATGTCAATTAAGGTAGAAAAGAAGATGGTTAAGAAATATAATGAAAGATCAAAAGTCTATGTTTAAGAGGAAGAGAGGGGAGAAGAGTAAAAATGGAGGAGACTGTAGAGAGAAATTAAACAATGGCTTCTTAAAAGTCATGGTGAATTAATCAAGCTCACTTTTGTGTACAGGAGGCTGCTTGGGTTTCTGCGTTAGACAGTCTGGGTTCCCTTTAATCTTGTGGAAATAGAAAACGCAAAAATCCTATTTATGGGTTTGTGGTGTCCTTTTATTGTTTTTTGAATAATTAAGATAAAAGTGAGTTGAATGTTTGTAAAGAAACACGTTTTGCAGCTGGAGTGTTATGATCAATAGACAGAGAGGTAGACTTACTGCAACTGCTGGCAGCATACTTATTTAATTTAGTCCTCTGTTATTCTTAAAGACTTTTTGGCATGAAACCAAAACCACTTTTAACAACTTAACCTGTTTCCCATGTGGTATTTAACTCAGGGGTTGAGTGAAATCTACACACTGTAAACATGTGAAATGTTTCTGTTTTTCAAAGAGTTGAGAAAGACTTGGCCATTACCAGAGCCTGACCAGCTGATTTTTACATCAGTGGCGTTCTTGTGAATGTTTACACCCACATGTAGACGCTCACATACACAAACACCTGCACACATTCATCTGCTCTCCAGACAGCACTAATCAAACTCAGACGTTATTGTGGTTTAAAGAACATGTATAGAGTTTCCCATCGGGAAGACATTTCTCATTGTAAAATGGCTTCTGCTGTTGCCTTCTGTGGGGCTGGAGAGATCCCTAAAGACAGGAAGTGATGGAAAACCATTGGGGCACCAAGGGAGCAGAGAACAATCTGCTAGGAGATAAAAATATGTCACAGGAATCCTATAGGTCTGTATGTGCTCTGCTGCATCTTTATATGATTTCAAAGTGTTATTTTGAGCTTGGGAAGAGCTTTAACATTGAAGAATGGTTTTGCTGAGCTTTGCACCACAGCTGTTGTCTGACAGCTGTGGTGGAGTTTTCTGTCAGTCTTGTCCTCTATGTCCTCTGTCTATGGAATCAGTCTTAGCCATGCCAGGACTGGTAGACACAGCGCAGTGCTTTAGTAGAGCTGTGAAGCATGTGGTGATACAGGCTTTTGTCTCGCCCCCTCTCTCTGTCTCGGACACTGAAATTTTTCCTCCTCCTCTGGGCTTCACAGACTAAGCCTCTGGATCCCATGTTTCCTGGAGTATCTGCCAGCTCAGCCTCACACACACTGAACCAGGCCTGGCAGAACTACGAGAGCTAATATGTCAGGATTAGCTCCCAAACCTCAACACATAACAGCTCTCCACAGAACTCACCTCTTCTTCTCTCTTTTCCTGAGAGTGGAATCATTTATTTATATGACTTTTAAGTGTGTAATCAGATTGAAATGAATCACATTAATCTTTGCATCTTAGTTTATGCTTACAATGCTTTTTACAAGTGAAACTGTGGGTTAAACATTTAAAATGTTCTGTTCTCACTCACTTTATATCACGTTGGTCTTCTTTTCCAACCAATCCACACATAGTTTGTTGCTTTGGGTTTTACTAAGAATCAATTAAAATGAGCTATGTTCTTTCAGAGGCTATTGCAGCCTGAAAAGTTTCTAAAATGCCATACAAGCCAGACAGGGGATTCAGTTTCCCATACTCTTGTATGAAGGCAACAAATAACAAGAATCTACAGCCATGCTAGCGTGTCTGTGAGGCTGCACTGTGAGGCTACATGCTAATATGCTCACAATGACTATGTTTACAGGCTAATGTTTACCATGTTTGCCATCTTGGTTTAACATGGTAGCATGCTAACATTTGCTAATGAGCACTAAACACAAAGTGCAGCTGAGGTTCGAGGGGAATGTCGCTAGTTTTTCTTGTATTTGGTCATAAACCAAAGAGCAGGAGCAAGTTTTATGGTGATCCATCCAGTTGCCAAAATATTTCAGTCTGGACCAAAGTGGTGAACCGACTGACCAACTGACAGATCAGCATTTCCATCCCTAGAGCCACTCCTCTTGCATGGCTTAAAGCCAACATCCAGCATAATCCAATCTGATACAACCACATTGCAACCTCAGTGCTTATCTACGTATACAAATCTGAAATAATAAAGCATCATCAAATTCAAATATTTAATTCAGGATGTTTAATTTGGTTTAATTAAATTGTAACTTGTTATTTTTCTATTGTGTTAATATTAGTGGACACGGAGGCCAGAGAGCATTTCTTTTCTTTTTTTACGACCCACGTATGGTCTGAGGGTCTGATGTTTTGGTCTGGATCTAACGGGAATGTCCCTCTCTCTTTCCATCGTTGAGTGGCAACCTCTGGTAGTGCAGTGTTTTCACTGCAAGTTCATCTTCTCCCAAGAGTGTGTGGTTGGGGAATGAGTGTAATTGATCCTTTTGGTATCAGTGGTGTATAGGGCCGCGTGTAGCCTGTGGCTAAGGTTTTCTGAGATCTGTGCCCCATCACTCCCTGTTGGAACCCGTCAAACCCAAGAGACGGGATCTGTTAGGAATTATCAAGCCCTCCTCAGGCAAATGGAAATCAGACCGGCCAAAGCAAAGCTGCAAGTGCTTCATGTCATGAGTGAACTGGAAAAGGCCTAAAAAGACTGAACGCTGTAGTTATTGTAGCCTTTGGGGTTTCACTGGTATAATTCTATTTTACCCTGTCAAGAAAACACATTTTATTCTTGGCAATTTGACTCATGGGAAGTTAAGATGAAAAGGCCTGTGGCAAACATGTCTCCTGAAAGAATGGAGTGGAAAAGTTTGTGGGAGTGTGTCATTTATCTCAGCACACTGATTATCCTAATCAATCTGATCGCTGTTCTCTGTATGTTGCTCCAAAATGTAGGGGCTGAAGCTGAAACTTCAGTGTGAATGAGGTCACAGAAAAGGGAGTAACTTCTGTTTACTTGGATGTTCTGTCTGCTGCTGATGACAGCGACCATGGAAAACATTCCTCATTAAAAGTGTATATATCTCAAGTGGGGTGCTTTTGCATACCACATTTGATCCCGGGTCTTGTTCTTGATCCATACTGATTTAGTGCTCCACTGTGTGTGTGTGTGTGTGTGTGTGTGTGTGCATGATTGGACCCACAGTTTATTTTCACTCTCTTTGTGTACATGGATTGGACAGTATGCAGAGGACAGAGGGGAGGAGGGTCAGCCACTGTCAACAAGCGACGGATCGTGAGAAAGACGGGCTGCTATTTGTGATCTCGATTTTGTACCACAGCTGTCGGACTGAAACCGAATTGCTGCTGTTTGGTATTGCGTCAACAAGCCCCCAGCTTAACTATAGCAACATGTCAGAGTCACGCCACCCCGGCAGACAAAGTAGAGTATGGTCACAATAATACATTTTATTGGGATCACCTTCCCTCATTATGGTTTCTAGTAGATGGTGTTAAACTCCAAGAGGGAGAAGTGGAAGTGCAATCGTTGATGAGCTGCGTGAAGAACAAAGTGTTAAAGCCAGAGGACAAAGCTGTGCTGTTATGCCTCATATAAAAGTCCTGGGAAAATTATTTTTCATTATCTAGTGAAAAATCTGCCCTGTTTTGACCGTGTTGAGTTTAATCTGGTGTGGCCTCTGCAGGGCGTTGTTGTGTTAGTGTGATTGATAGTGAGTGTCTTTCTCTTTTTTTCTTTTTGTCACCAGTACCCTGTCTAGCTGCATGCATGCGGTGGTGGCGCTTCTCTACCCCTTCTCCTGGCAACACACCTTTATCCCCGTGCTTCCAGGCTCCATGTTGGATATTGTTTGCTGTCCCACTCCCTTCCTGGTAGGGCTGCTGTCCAGCTCTTTGCCGAAGCTCAAGGAGTTGCCTGTGGAAGAGGTGAGTACACCGTCTACCTGAGTGTCTACCTCTGAGCGCAGTTTCTTTTCCAGACTTTGAATTTTACATTTCAGACCAATGTCTCTTACATTCTTCATCTAGATGTCCCTGATTGTTCTGGCTGTGTCTCTTTGTTCTCAACTTTCTGAATCCCTGACTAGTGGATATTATTGTCTTGGTTGATAATTTACAATAATACAGATTCAGAGTAATTCCGTTATAAATTGGCCGACTGTTTCTGTGTCTGTCTGACCTCCTCTACCTCTAGTCTTATTATATTAGGGAACCAGCCAGGTGACTTCCAACAAAAGGAAAGGATTCAAAACATTTTGAGACAGAGCAACTAAAGTGCATTAAGTGTTTTTGGCCACTTGGAGTCATTAGAACAAGCTGTAAACACAAGATTGACAAAGTATCACCATACACTGTATATCACTGTATGAACTGCAGAGTTGGGTGATCATCTGTCCAGTTTGGTCAGTACAGTTGACCCCTCTCACAATACTTTATTTGATCCATTGTTTATATAAAATATTAATTAGTGCAGCCGTAATAAAAAAACATTTTAAGTTTAGTTCACATCTTAAGTTTTAAGATTGATTGTTTATTGGCCATTGATTGGACAGTCGTTTTAGACACTTCTTTTTTACAGCAAAAAAAAAAAAACTAATTTATTCCAGCTTCTCAAATGTGACTATTGTCAGATTTTCTTACTCTTTTATGACAATAAAATGAATACCCAAAGGGGTACGAGATATAATCAAGAAACTAATTGGTAGATTAATTGATGAATGAAAATTATTGTTTTTTGTAGCCCTGCAACAAAACATATGTAAGAAAGTCCTGTGTGGTAACACTCATATCTGCTATATTCTTGTTTATCAATCGTTTTGTTTATATATTTATTTTCACAAGCCTATGAAGTGTAGCTGACTCTTGTGTGTTGTGTTTATATTCTACATGCATGTGTAAGCATTCACACAGATACATACTGTAGCAAGTGACCTGAAGCCGGTACAGAGCCAGTGTAAAGGCAGCACCCGTCAAAGATCTCTAGTGTCATTTGTTTTTTCTTGTTGTGTCTCACAATAAATATTTTGGGAGAAGAAACCCAGTGAAGCAGTGTGCTTAAGTAAGTATACAGGTAATGCTGATGAAATTGTGAAAGTTTTGTCATATCTTAGCACTGGCTACATCTACATATATCTCTCGGACTGAGAGGTGTTTTATGTGAAAAGACAACTTGAAAAGTCACATTTAATACTGACTTGCTAATGTGTTGTCAACAACATCTGCTGTCTGTTTATACCACTCATCATGTTGCTGATTGACTCATGAAAACAATCCTTAAGAAATGTTTTTCATACATACAGTCTATGGTTTTATATCAGATTTTTTTGTACTGTAGCCTCTTTAAAGGTGATGGTTATGTATTTCACAGATTGTGTTTTGCTGCACAATAAAATGTATGTTTCCACTGCAGGTGGAATAAACAGTTCTACCTTTAAGAGATAAGAAGGGGATTCACAGTTTTTTTTTAATTAGTTCTAAATAATAATGCGCTCTTATTTTCTTTTTCTCAGGCTTTAATGGTTGACCTGGGAACTGACCGATTCCTCCGCCAGGTTAGTCTATGAACTTAAAACAAGACTATATAACTTCTACTAAACAGTAGCCACTGTGATCAAGTGGCAGTTGCAAGATTACAGCACTTTACCTTTATCAGGGGTAAAACTGTAGGAAAAATAAAAAATAAAATAAAAATCCCCCTCTCACCCCTTGCGGTGTGGTGTCATCCTCAAGCTCGGTCCTCTATCAGAGGCCTGGGAGTTTGAGGGTTGTGCGCAGTATCTTAGCTGTTCCTAGGACTGCACTCTTCTGGACAGAGACCTCTGATGTTTTACTTGGAATCTCCTGTAGCCACTCTCCCAGTTTGGGGTCACAGCCCTTGGTATTTCTCAAGCTTCTTGTGTTCCCTCTTCTTGATGTTGCTGTCACTTGGGATTGCCACATCTATCGCTGCAGCCTTCTTCTGCTGTTTGTCGATTAACACGATGTCTGGTTGGTTAGCTATTACCAGTTTGTCAGTCTGGATCTTGAAGTCCCTTCAGGATCTTAGCTCAGTCATTCTCAACTACCTTAGGAGGTGTCTTCCGTTTTGACCTTGGGACTTCCAGCCCATACTCATAGCAGATGTTCCTGTACACTATGCCAGCTACCTGGTTATGGCGTTCCATGTACACACTTCCTGCCTGCATCTTACACCCTGCTGTTATCTGTTGTACTTGTCTCAGGGGTTATCCTTGTACAGTCTGCACCTGGGGTCCTGCCTGGTGTGGTAGACCCCAGCCTCTATTGATCTTGTACTGAGTGCCTATTCTTGTGCCGCCATGATTAGTGCCTCTGTGCTGTCCTTTAGTCCAGCCTTTTCCAGCCACTGGTAGGATTTCTTGATATCAGCCACTTCTTCTATTTCGCTGTGGTATATGCTGTGCAGCGGCTTGTCCGTCCATGAAGGTTCTTCGTCTTCCTTGTCCTCACCCCTGGGGTTTCTGCTGCCTGAGGTATTCACTAAGCCCTTCATCTTTGGGGGCCATCTTCCTGATGTACTCTTGTCTTGATGTCAGTGGCCTCTATCTCCTCCTTTGGCTAGTTTATTATACCAGCTGGGTATCTGATGTGTTGATGGCTCGGATCTTGTTTTTCCCATTCAGCTGACTTTTCAGGACCTGCCTTACTCTCTGTAGGTATTTGGCTGTGGCGGACTTCCTTGCTGCCTCCTCATGGTTTCCGTTATCCTGCGGCACCCCAAGGTATTTGTAGCTGTCCTGAACATCTGCAATGTGGCCTTCTGGTAGTTCAATCCCCTCGGTTCTGATCATCTTCCCTCTTTTTGATACCATGCGACCACACTTGTCCGGTCCGAATGACATTCGGACCGGACAAGTGTGACAGAGGAGGTGACTGATGGTTATTCCACTTCAGAACCGGTATCCGTAGCCAGTCTTTGTGATGATCTAGCTGAGAGGGTTCAGGCCTATGCAGAACAGCAGCAGGGATAGTGCATCACCTTGGTATATGCCGCACTTGATGGTGACTTGTGCAATTGGCTTTGAGTTGGCTTCCAGACTTGTTTTCCACAGCCCCATTGAGTTCTTGATGAAGGCTATTAGTGTCCTGTTGATCTTGTAAATTTCCAAGCATTCCAGTATCCATGAATGTGGCATTGAGTCATAGGCTTTCTTGTAGTCAGTCCAGGTGGTGCACAGATTGGTCTGCCTGGTCTTGCAGTCTCGAGTGACCACTCTATCAACCAGTAGCTGGTGCATGGCTCCCCTGGTATTACTACCCATTCCCTTCTGGGCCCTGTCCATGTATTGAGCCATGTGCCTACTCATCTTAGCCGCTATGATGCCTGACAGGAGCTTTCATTTTGTGCAGAGGCAGGTTATTGGTCTGGAACTAAATATATTTACCTACACAGTCCCATCCAAAAGTATTGGAACAGTAAGGCAAATTCCTTTGTTTTTGTTGTTCACTGAAACATTTGGGTTTAAGGTCAAAAGATGAGCATGAGACAAGAGTTTAGAATTTCAGCTTTCATTTCCTGGTATTCACATCTAGATGTGTTAAACAACTCAGGACATACCACCCTTTGTTTGAACCCACCCATTTTTCAAGTGAGCAAAACTATTGGAACATGTGACTGACAGATGTTTCTTGTTGCCCAGGTGTTGCCTCTTAGGCTGATTGTCCAAACATTAAATAGCTAGACTAGTCTAAGTTTTCATCCTAGGTTCAAACCTATAAAGACTGCATTTCCTGTTAAAGAGGATAAACCAACATGAAGACCAGAGAGCTGTCTATGGGAGAAAAGCAAGCCATTGTCAAGCTGAGAAAAGAAGGAAAATCAACCAGAGCCATTGGACAAACATTGGACATAGCAAGCACAACAATTTGGAGTGTCCTGAAAAAGAAAGAAACTACTAGTGTACTGAGCAACAGACGTCGAACAGGTCGGCCAAAGAAAACAACAGTAGTTGATGACAGAAATATCGTGAGAGCTGTGAAGGAAACCCCCAAAACATCAGTAAGTGACATCACCAACGACCTCCACAGTGCAGGGGTGAAGGTATCACAATCCACTGTTTGAAGAAGACTCAGAGAGCAGAAATATAGAGGCCGCACCACAAGATGCAAACCACTCATCAGCAGTAAGAATCGCAAGGCCAGACTGAAATTTGCAAGTACAGAGATGAGCTGCAAAAGTTCTTGAACACAATCTTACGGACTGATGAGACCAAGATTAATCTCTACCAAAGTGATGGAAAGGCCAAAGTGTGAAGAAAGAAAGGAACTGCTTATGATCCGAAGCATACAAGCTCATCTGTGAAGCATGGTGGAGGTAATGTCATGGCTTGGGCGTGCATGGCTGCTTCTGGAACAGGCTCATTAATATTTATTGATGATGTAACTGATGATGGTAGCAGCAGAATGAATTCAGAAGTGTACAGAAACATTTTGTCTGCCAATTTACGGAGAAATGCATTGAAACTAATCGGGAGGAAGTTTATCATGCAGCAGGACAATGAACCAAAGCACACTGCCACCAAAACAAAGGACTTCATCAGGGGAAAAAAGTGGAAGCTTTTAGACTGGCCAAATCAATCACCTGACTTGAACCCAATAGAGCATGCATTTCACCTCCTTAAGAGGAGACTGAAGGGAGAAACACCCCGAAACAAACAAGAACTGAAAAAAGCTGCGGTAAAAACCTGGAATAGCATCACAAATGAAGATTGCAACAGTTTGGTGATGTCGATGGGTCGCAGGCTTGAGGTTTGAGAGTTATTGCAAGCAAGGGTTATGCCACCAAATATTAAATGTTATTTAGTTTAGAATTATTTGTTCCATTACTTTTGCTCACCTCAGAATGCTGTGGTTTAATACAAACGGTGTCCCAAGTTGTTTAACACATCTAAATGTCAATACCAGGAAATAAAAGCTGAAATTCTGAACTCTTGTATCATACTCATCTTTTGATCTTAAACCCAAATGTCTTCAGTGAACAACAAAAACAAAGGAATTTACCTTACTGTTCTAATACTTTTGGAGGGGACTGTATATTTATAACATGATGTGTTATATATATATATAATATGATGTGTTTAGATGATCACTTTACTTTTGTGAAAAAAAAAAATATTGAAATGTTTATCTGTAACTAAAATGTAGTGTAGCAAAAGTCATGAAGTCCGCAAACTGTCTCAGTAATGTATATTACACAGCAGCAATATGTATCTAATTTATAAGTTACTGGTCATACCAGACAAGTAAGGTTGAAGCAGCAAAACCCCTGAATGTACTAAGATGTTTATTGCTTATGAATTCAACTTTTCATTTGCAAGAGGAAGATTGTGTTTTTTGAACTGATGCTGTCTTTAAACAGGCTCTGTTTTCAGTCAGAGCCTTTGAAACTTACTCTCCAATCATTGTTGTTTATCACTAGTGACGGCAAAGTTTTTCGGTTGTTTATAGATGGACGATGAGGCCTCACTGTTGCCTCGGAAACTTCAGGCCGCTCTTGAGCAAGCGCTGGAGCAGAGGAATGACATCATCAACCAGGACTCTGACAGTGAGTCAGACGAAGGTGAATAAGTGACAAATCATCCCTCACTAGCAAGACAGATGTTTTCCTTGTTAATTGGAGCAACAGTTTCTTTGGCAGAACATGTTCAGTCTCTGTGAAACGCACTTGAGGTGACGTCCTCTGCAGAGACTACTCATGACAGTGAGTCACAAAGACTCAGAGAGTGAGAAACTCTGTTGTTTCTGATGATGAAAGGTCTGTGTCGAGCTGACTGATTAGGCTTACTTTTCAGGTGTTCCACAGTTAATTAGGGTCCACATATTCTGATATGGTGGTTAAAAAAATACCCCTGAAACAGTTGTTGCTCTTTCCCTTCTAATAGTTGTACAGCTACAAACACACTACATTAAAGTATTTTTCTTTCAAAATGAGATCAGTAGAATTATTTTTTAGAGGTGCGTCTGTAGTTTAAAATCTGCCTAATTACACAAATCCGTCTTGTGCATGTCTCCCATATGGTCTAGCAGTTAGGATTCCTGGTTTTCACCCAGGTGGCCCGGGTTCAACTCCCGGTATGGGAAGTTGGTTTTTAGGTAGATTTTTCCCCAGGGATTAGTAATAATTTTATTTGTAAAGCAATTTTGAAAACAACAGCTACAGAGTCTTTCACAGAACAAAATGTAAGACCTTCAAGAGAAAATAATAAAGAAAAACATACTTTTTCATATTGTTTCATATCATAAGAGACCCTACATCCAGACAGACTTTCTCTCTCTGCTTTCCACATTCTTTTCCAAAATAAAATCTTCAGCTAACGGTGTCTGTGGTTGTGTTACATGTGCCCCATGTCAATCACAGCTTGTTCTTGCTAATGTGAAAACCAAAGCAAGACACTTGTGCAGCCTGCAGTCTATGAGATTAAATGGATGTTTTAGCTTGACTTTACATAATACACTACACACAGGTTTTAAAGTACCTTGTGATATTTCGACAGTCAGCGGGGCCTACGAGCCGGCCATGACATTTACCATACAAAACAACTAAAATGAGAGGAAATAAACAAACAGTACTATAAAAAAAGCAAGGGAATGCATCAGATCATGTTGAGGTTGTCCTTTAATGACACCCCCACAGTTACAGTTCTGGTTGTTGTTTTTTAATGTATTGAGTTCTAGGTAGATTTCCTTTCACAGATAATGTTCACGGTGTGGGTCTTTTCTCTAGCCATGAAGGTCTGTGCCTCTGGAAGCTTGCTGAAATTTTCCAATACTTTTTGCATACTGACAACACCAGAGTAAGGAATAGAAGTAATAAAGAGGCAACCACATTATTATTATTTCTTATTTTGTGGTTAATTAGATTTAGGCTGATTTGACCAAGCAGTATGGGAATCAAATCAAATCTCCACACAGTTAACAATAGTTGTATAGTTTTATTACTTATGTGGCTTTGAGCATTTAGCCAAACCATGTATTCAACTTTAATCGGCCTCTGACTGCTTTTAGGCTTCTTTAAGAACTATCTGACTGTCCGTGGGTCAACTGTGTGACATGTCTGTTTTATTACTTACTTATGAATACAGATGTAAGTGAACTAAGTACTTCTCCTTCGTGTCTACAGAGTATAACTCCTTGAACAGCCTGGTGTCAGAGGCCTTCATCCGCTTCTTCCTGGAGACCATCGGCCATTACTCCCTGTTCATCGCTCAGAATGAGCGCGGAGAGCGCGTTTTCCAAAGAGAGGCCTTCCGCAAGTCTGTGGCGTCTAAAAGCATCCGTCGTTTCCTGGGCGTCTTCATGGAGTCTCAGATGTTTGCAGGGTTCATTCAGGATCGGGAGCTGAGGAAGTCCCGGGCTAAAGGTAGACTGTCCTTCCCTGAGTGTCACGTTTCAATGAATGCCCTCTTTCTGCCTAAGAAATCTGCACACTTTTCTCTATAGCTTCATACCCCTATACTAACTCTAATACTTACTGTGCAGGACGAGGCACTGCAGTAATACTGATCTCTAGTGGCTGAAAGTCATCATCAGCATGTTTTCTCACCACATCACTCTGCTTTTTAATTTCCTGGAATACTGACATGTTTCATGTTGTCTTCTTTTAATCTCTTGTATTGTCCTGTTAACAGGTCTGTTTGAGCAGAGGGTGGATCAGTATCTGGAGGAGCTGCCAGACACAGAGCAGAGTGGAGTCAACAAGTTTCTGAAAGGCCTTGGTGAGTCCTGCGGCAGACTCACAAAGCTAGACACAGATTCCAGGAATTAAAAAAAAAATTAAGCCGTTTTAAAGTCAGGTTGCATAACAACCTTCAAGGGAAATTTCAAATATTCCTCCTCTAACTTTGTTGAAACACTCTCTCACTACAAGATTAGATCACACATGACTCAAATGTTATCTTGCCAGAGGGAGCCACACACAGACTCATCCAACATTCAGTTGCTGCTACTCATTTGCTCTGTCTGGATTGAAACTCATAAGTATCTAACATGATAGAAACCATCAAGATAGTCCTGACAAGTCAGTCAACATGTCATAATAAGGCCAATAATGTGTTCTGATAATTGTTCACACTGATCTGTTTCCAGGAAGTAAAATGAAGTTTCTCCACAAAAAGAACTGAAGGGAAACCATCCCCCTGTTTTAAGTCATCCCACAAACTGAAGACCTGATGTCTCAAGTCTGCATTCTGATGATTCTCACTTTTGTGTCTTTTGTTTTTTTATGTAAACATGTACATATTATTTCACTGTAAGCTGGCTGTGATACTCTTCAGTGTATGTTTATAGTACCTTACGAGATAGTGATAGCAGGACGGTACACAGCGAGTGAGCCGTAGAGTAACCACTGATGTCCAGGTATGCTTGTGAAGAGTGTTATTAGAATGTGTGGGTGTGTGTGTCTTGACATGGGCATAGATGTACAGTTAATATGTTTTCATTTTTTTGCATTATTTCACGACAGTGTTGTCCTCTGTTTAAGGAGTGTAAAACCTATTCAAAAACTGTAAATGCATCAAGACAATGAAGAAAATGATTGTAACTCTTCATAGAGTCTTTTGCAATCTTTTATTAAAAAAAAAATAGTTAAAATGCTTCAAATGTCTGAGTGTGCAGTATTGTGTTCACTAATAATATACATGTTAAATTTTTTGTTGTTAAATGTTGGATCAATCTATGATTTTGACTCATGTGCCATCATAAATTTGTTCTTATTTTTCACCCAAAAGGCCAATTATCAATCCAAACAACACAGATGTACTCCACAGCCTTCATTACTTTGATTTGTTGTCTCACTAAAACAAGGCCCAAAGCATACAGATATCACAAATAGATGTAATTCACAGTTTGCCAGATTATATAAAAATCACCCCCTTTTACATCTGACATCTCAATGACAGGCTCCCTCAAAGCTGTGCAATAGGAGATGCTGGTAAGATCCCAAAGGCACCGTTAGTCTAGCACGAGCTACCACATGCTGCTGGTAACCTTATTACGTCTGTACACATCACTCTGCTGGCTGTCTCTGCCACGCTGTTATTAGCGCTCCTAACTGAGAGGCTCACTGTTGATTCCAGCCGCCATATTACTTTTCCTCTGCTTGTGTCCCTTATAGCAATTAACGGTGACATTTGATGTGAAATATCGGCGTTCTCCGTTTAGGATTAAGCTGAACACCTACTTGACAACATTTTTCTTACCTTGCAGGGTAGGAAGGTTTAATAAACACTTAGTCGTTACCATTTTGTAAATGTCATATTCAGAGTTTGTACTTTTACTACACTACATTTATCTGATGGCTGTTGCTTTAGATATAAGGTATAAGCATTACTACACAGCAGCACAGTGCATTTGGACCACATGCCAAATGATAAGACTTTTTGCAGGTTAATGCACCAATAATTTAACACCACAAAGGGGACTAATACTCAGTGTGAGTTCTGTTGCTGCTTTAATATGCCGTAAGAATTGTTTGAATGCAGTTTTTTTTTAAATGAGAATAACTTTACATGTTGGTACTTGATACCTTAATTAGGAAAACCTGTATGCTTACCTCCCACTTATGCCCTACCAGACGAAATAACAGTTTGAAATATCCGGTGATTTGATGTCACCATAAAATTCATAGACTTTCTGTTTTTCCAAATGTTTGCTTTGAAGCAATATTGAGACTTTGATAAAAATAAAAACATTGTAAGTATCGAACGACTTGATTTTAAACTACCAAACAGTATATAAAATATTCAGTTACTACATTTAAATGCTGCTTAGGCTATATGTTAATGCAGCAGCAATAGTCCAATAATATAATGTATGAATAAAAACGTAACACTGATGAATACTTGTGCTTTTGATGATTTAATTACTGGTGATATTTCTGCATGATTGCTCAGGTAAACTTTCTAATCCTTTTTACTTTTAATAGAGAATTTTCATTGTGTTGTTATTTTTAGTGAGATAAATGATTTGAATACTTCCTCCATCACGGGGGAGCTGTGTTCTCACCATAATGCCATGCTTCTAAACTTTCATCACACTGCAGCTTTGAGAAACGTCAGAAGTGTTGCATGAGAAACAGTGTGAAATCTCACGATTAACTGCGAGACTTGGAATATCCAAAATTTGTCCGGTCTAAAGAGCGACATCCGATGGGGGGGACCGACTCTCGGAGATGCACGGGTCAAGGTAAAGGGAAAAAAACAAAAAAATACTAACCCTCTCGCCCTTTGGACAGACACATGCAGCACACCTGACGTGACTGGCAGAAGTTGAGTTCCTCGGTCTCTTTTCAGTCTCGTTTCCACTGGACTGAAAACAGCACTCTGACACCCTCACACACTGATGTTTACCTGACAGGATGCTTTGCATGAGCTGCGCACTTAACGAGCGGAATAACGTGTACACAGACACAGTTTCTAGACGCTCTTTGCACCAAACTGTCCGCGTGCTGACTCGTGTTGTCCTCCTGTTGTGTTGTGGATTGCACCACGATGCCATGATAGGGGCGTAATCTCATGCGCACTTTCTAAAAAACAATATCACGCTCAGTGATGCGCCGGAGGTGAGGCTGATAATGCAGAGGCAGGCTGCAGATGCGGAGGCAGGCGCTTCGCACATCTCTCCAGTTTGACTGACATGCTTGTTATTAGGCGAAGATGCGTTAATCAGGAGCTGTCAGCCTGACACATTCATGAACAGATGGAACAGGTAGCCAAACGTGTAAGATGCCATAAGGAAAATCACTGGAAATCCCAAATTCCCACAGCTTTGCACAGTGAGTAATTAAACACAAAACTATTGTGGTCTCTTCATACTTAAATGGTAGTTTCCCCATGACTTCAGTGTAATATTCAAACAGGGATTTATTGTTTTACAATGATATTTGTAGTGTATCCTAATGACCAAGCCACAGATAGAGTAAGACCATATCACAAACGGTTTCTGATGAACCTCAGTAGGTTGTATTTATGTTAACTGTGAAGTTAAACGTGCCATATGCCATCCATTATGGAGGACAAATTCTTTGAAGTTTTGAAGGAGTTTTTCCATATCTATAAATCAAGGGTCTAGTTACAATTTTTGCTTTTTATGCTATATAAATCAAATTCGACTTGACTTGATTTAGATTTTCCCATAAATAATGGCTGCACCAGGGCCCTTACAAGGATTTAAAAAAAATACTTCAATCCAGTGCAATCCCACCCACTGATGAAATGTTTGAGTAGCCACTAAAGTATCTCTAAATGGTGTTTCAAAGCATCTTCTTGAGGTGAAACTCTAAGGCTTATTTAAAGTAATATTTTTGCCCCAAATAGTGACGATAGTTATTCTATAAACCACCAGAATCATCCTTCAAATCATAATTTAAAGTTTAGTTAGAAGATACATCCTCTCTAGCCTGTTTTAAACCTCAGAAATTCCCCGAAACAATAGAAGACATGACCTCTGTGTCCTCAGTGCTACACAGTAGCTTCAGCTGCACCCCGTTGTTCTGCTGAATATTGCACCTTGCAATTTGGCTTACAAATGGAAAAGAATTAAAATAAACTGAGGTTCTTGCATGATTTGTCCATTTTTTTTAGATCAACTTGAGATAAACATTAGATCCTACAGTTTAGCATGTACATTAATCAATAAAGTTTTTATAAATATTACATTAAATGAACCTACAGATTAACTCTACAGCTTTATGGATCTTTTTGACCTCTTTTAGCTCATTGTTTTGGATTTACGGATCACACATTAAGTTTCGCTGCTCTCAATAACCATGTTTAGAGCAGCATAAAAGGTCTGATAAACCCATGTGTGCCACTAGTCTAATATGCTACAGCAGTTAGATAGGCAATTTTTTTACTACTGAGTTAGCTGCAACAACTTTACAAAGTGATAATATGTGTCCCTTTGTGATCAAAACATCTTAATGGCCCTTAAATAATGTTGTTTTAAAGGAAGTTTTAAAATGAGAGCTAACTATGTGCATAAGAGTGAGGTGTCAGTAAACAGAAAGTAAAATCGTCTTTATCCGCTTGACAGGAGGCGCACGGTGTGATCTCATCATTTGAAGCAGTTCAAGCACCCCATGATGAGGACATAAACATGATGGAGCAAATATCGCTTAACAGTCTTGTTTCTGCGTGAAGTTGCAGCAACTGAAGCTGACTTTTTAACCAAGGAGAGCTCCTTAACTGGGAGCTTCTCAAATTATTTAAATTGCTTTATGATTTGTTGATAGTGAAGATGTTTCTCTCCTGTTGATTGATTTCTTTGCAGAACAGAGAGTGGGCTGTTAAGTGAGTTGAGTGCAGAAATAGAAAAATGGCTTAAGAACTTAAGAGCAGTGGAAGATAATCCTGCCTTCTCTGTGATGTCATCACCTCAGTGTTAATAGATGTTACATAGGGAGGTGCTTTCAAGGGAGATATCGCTGCACAGGTTTCTATTATGGTAACATCTCCTGAGATGGCATGCATATCTGGTGCCAGCTTCACTTAGCAGGGCAGGGAAGCTCTGAAGGTGCAGCGAAAATGAGTGCACAGTTTGAAAATGCTATAGAGGTGGGTGAGCGAGAGGCAGGGCGTACTACGACTGACTAATTGTGTTTCAAATTGGGTCTTTGAGCACACAATGGGGAATGGGATTGCTCTGAGCTCCCCACTGAAGCACCCAAGGATGAGAAAGTTGTCAAGATTTGTAGGTCAGGCTGCAGGGGTTGTTGTTAGGCAGACTTGCTCACACCTCCAGATGTGACAGCGGTTTGATGCTGGGTGTATATTTGATGGCGGGCGTTTGTTTTAAGTTTTGATTGCTTTCGACAACACCATGTTTCCCAGTTTCCTTTTTCAACTTTCATATTGTCATGCTACTGTTTCATAAACTGTCCGTATCCCATATTTTGTTTCTCTTTCTCATTATCCACAGTTAGCTCCTTTTCGTTCCTCTTACAGATATGTTCAGTTCATGTTCTCTGACATGCTGAGTTAAAATCTTAATTGATTTCACAGTGTTAGAGGGAATTGCACGAGTGTATCCTAGTCCCATCTGGAGCTTATCAGAGCCTGACCCGGTTTCGGTGTGCTACGTTAGCGTGTAGCTCCACTGGGACCTGTCCCCTCCTCAAGCTGACAAAGGGAAGGAGGCCACGACTGTCCCATCCTAGCCCAGCGCGACATAGCCAGACTCAGCCTGCGCCTAACATCACCCACCCTGCCTCACACTGCCTGCTCCAACGAACTAAAAGTTGCTTACAGTACAATTTCTCCCTCCTTCGTGATTGTAGGTCACTTGGTCTTCCTTCCTCCATTTTGGAAAGGGCTTCCGGGGATATTTTGCCCTACAAAAAAATAATTATCTTATCTCCCTAATTCCCAATTATTATGCACAGGCTTATTTAAGAAAAAGGATTAGATTTTCTCTCTTTTTTGGTGGCTGCAACATCGAGCAAGGGGTTGAATTTGAATGTGACACAACTCTCTCCACCACTGCAGTGAGGCTTGGGTCCTACACATGGATAAACTGGGGGAGGAGAGAGCACAGTGAGGCTGTCATGTAAGCCGTCTCCTCTGGGGCCACCTCTCAGTGCGTGCTGCTTCCTGCCTTAGGTAGAAACCTCAGTGTTTCTTGCTGCTGAGGCATCAGACTGCTCGCTCTCCTCTCCTCTCCACTCCCTCCTGCTGAGCAGGCAACAGCTCCACTCTCAAAGCACTGAAATGGAGAAGGTAAGCTGCTTGTTTTAGCATTGCATGCTATCTTGATTTGAATGAATTCTTCTTGACTGACACAGCTAGAGATACGAGGTGGTTTTCTTTTTTGCAGCAGTTTCGGAGTTTGCACTGTTGATCCTGTGATTGTTCCCCTTTGGGGCATTTGAGGCCTTTCTGTATAGAGTTGGCATGTTTCCTATGTTTAATATCAGGTATTGTATTGATATTAGGAATACCACTACCATTGTTTTAGGACAAGGAATGGGGTTTTAAAACCCTGGTCCCGAGGCACCTAAATTGGTAGTAAGGGTCCACAGCAGAGGATGAATTTCCCCACAGGCATTAATAAAGTATTGCTTGGTTGAAAATACCTTTGAATCATTTTACTAGATTTAATGGACAGCTTTCATCCTCTTTTATTTGCTTATATGTGAAAGAAAATCACATGTAAACACAAAGGACTAAGTTCTATGAGTTTTATCATGTATATTGATAATAAAATAGCCAAAATCCTTATTTTAACAGATTGTATGTCCTTCCTTGTTAACATCTACATACATCACAATGTTTAAATGCTGATGGTTGGAATATAAAATCAGTGTTTAAATTTTTTGTTGTCACAAATGATGCTCTAGCACAGGTTTAGTTTCACTCATATTCTTCTGAAAGTCTCTCAGGCATTTGCAAGCATGAGCACAAATAACAACTTGGAAGTGTGATTTAGCCCAAAGTAAAGCGGCAACACAAATGTTTCTGACATATGCCACCTCATCTTTTTATCACATATGCCTGTGTGTGTGTGTGAGTATCTTCACTGTATATTTTAAACGTGTGTCTCTTTCAGAGCTGCTCAGAGTGTTCAGAGCCCACACTTGCACAGAGCCTGTGTACACTCTGCAACAAGTGGTTGTGTTACCAGTGCACAGATGTGCATCAGCATCAGAAAGCCCCTACAACTTCCCAGTACATAGACCTGCACCAACAACAGAGGCCCAGTGCCACCCAGTGTCCTGACCTGCACCAGAGAGGTTCCAGCTCCCTGCCTCCGACTGGACAAGGCATGCAATTTACATATTTAAAGACTTTGTTACTTCCATTTTTCAGGCCAGTTTCACAGATTATTAGTGGGGCTACACAGTCTGCCTCTGTCCTATCACCTGAAATCCTGTTTTGGCTCCTTTTTTCCCCGTCTGGTGCTCTGTTTGTTTGTTAATCATGCCTCAGTAGGAGATACTGCGATGAATAATGCATGACAATGGCGATGGTTGATAATAGTTCCTGGAGATCCCTGTGTTTTAATAACACCTCTCTTTTACAAGTGTCCCAGATTCTGAAGTGCTTGAATGATTTCATTTTCGCTAATATTAGTGTGTTGCTATTTAAAGATCCTCAAGTATTCCTGGCAGCTTTGTTGCCTGCTGCTTTTATGTCAAATCATAACGAGTATGCTCTAAGCACCTTTATTGTGATGTGGGAGTATTACTGTTTGGCTTGTGTACTTGTGAGAAAAGCTGTGTGACTGTGCTGACAGACAGGATGTGGTCAGTTCGATCGGGTTGATGCACATGGGGTGATGCTCAGCTCTCTACCACAGAGATCTGTGATGATGTGCAGGCAGAAGGGGGGTTGGCTGAGGTGAGCTGGCCAGCAGAGAGCAGTAGGGCTGCGCTCTTTAGCCTTATCTAGCTATTGTTAGATAGATGTTCTGTGGGCCAACAGTTTCTACAGTGACCTATTTAGAAATGTGTGAGAAATACATCAAAGCCGATTGGGCAGCACTGAGATATTGTTCATTTACATCTTTGTCTTTTAATGCACTTTAACACAGTGTCACTGCAACCTCAAGTTGCAACCTATTTCCCACAATCGTATTATTGTTTCGTTTCAAAGTGCAGAGGTAGGTCATGTCTAATATTGCATCGCAATATAACTCATCACGATTTACTTTTAACCACCCACTGCTCGGCTTGTAGCACTATATTAAAGTTTCATAGACTGGTTAGAAAAGTTACATAAAAACTTACAGTGTGTAAAGTGTATAAAGTAAAATGACAGATTACATTTTCATCTTTACAGAAAATATCCAGGTACAGAATATATAACAATAACAAATCCTGAAAAACATTATGCCCAAAATCATTGCAATGATCAAAAATCATCCATTTGTTTCAATTTAGGGAAACCACACCCAAAGACGGGGGAGTTAAAATAAATAGTTCCACATTGTGGAAAATATGCTTATTCTCTTTCTAGCTGAGTGTTAGGTAAGACAATTGACACCACTCTCATGTCTGTATTGTAAACATGAAGCCAAAGCCAGCTGCCAGTTAGCTTAGCTTAGTTTAGGGGGATTAAATGTAACGCATAAACCTAAAAAAATGCAATCTGCCGGGTTTTTTTTCATTCAAACCACCAGTCAACAGAAGAAAAAACTATTTAACTTTGACTTTGCGCTCAAAATTATACCCATTTTACGCTATAGGGTCCAGTCTTGTGCTTTTTACTTTTGTAGTCATATATTAGTTTGTTGCGGCTCACTTTAAATCACTATGTTCAGGATGGTTCCTTTGATTACCTATTACTTTTGAAATTTGACTTCACACCATTTCTAATTACTCCAAAAAACAGTTCAACAAGTGCTACATCAACAAGAAACTTAGGCCAGTGTGAGATGCGGCAAGCCTTTCAAGCAGCTACAAGAGAAAAATTCTAACTTTAATCAAATAAAATTTTGTTTAATATCTTCTTATAATCTTTAATAAACTTAAAGTAGTTGCTTGCCTGATCATTGGATAACATTCATGTCATTAAAACTCCTAGTTAGTGTTTGTTCTCTCTGCACATACTGATGGCCCTCCACTAGCTGTGGTTGTGAATTGCTTGTCAACTGCTAATGCTCTGTGCTCTCCCTCCTCCCTCCTCCCTCCGTCTGTCTTTTAGGCCCGGGGTCATATCCTTGTTCCCTCCTCATGTGCCACTCTCACAGACAGGAGCCCTTGGAGCTGTTTTGTGAGTCATGTGACCTTCTGTGCTGTAGCAGCTGTCACCTGTCCTCCCACAAAAACCACAGGTCAGTCCTCAGATACACAGCACAAGGACACTGCAGAGAAGGGCTAACCGCAGGTTAAAAACTTCCCCTGAGCAACAACTCTCTTTAACTGCCTTGTCACTTTTATCATGTGTATCTGCATATACTATCCTTGGCCTGCTGAATACCTATTAAGTATTCATATGCTTTTGTTTGCTGTGATGTTTCAGTACAGTAGCTGCCTCTAAGGTCACCTGCATAATGCCTTGTCCCCAGGGGAAACAAATTTGGTGTTCTCCCTGTGCCCGAAGAATAAATTAGTGAACTTTCTGTTGGTGCTGTGATCTCTCATGTATTTAGGGTGGTGCAGATCACAAAGGCCCTACAGGATCAGCAGTGGCTGTTTGAGAGCCTGATGGTGCAGGTGGAAGAGAGGAGGTCTGCAGTGGAGAACAATGCTAAACAGATAGAGGAAAGGTTGGTTTTATACTCCTACAGATCCTAATCAGTCCAAAGTCTAAGCAACTTGTGCCACAAATGGTCAATAATTTAACAGCATGAAATATAGAAAGCTAATGCATAAATTGATGTCTGAAATGCTTCTTTCTTCTTTTGCATTTCTTCTTCTGTCTTCATAGACTTCATGGAGTAAAGATTGCACACAGGAAGGCAGAGAACCAGATTAAAATGGCAAAGATGATTATGATGAACGAGCTTAACAAACGAGCCAACCTATTAATAGAGCAACTGGAGGTAATTACTTTCTCTCTTTTTCTCTCCTTATCGTTCAGCCAGCCACAAATCTACATGCAAAGAATCAGTATCTGTCGTGATGTAATCAGTTCTGAAAGCAAGCAAACGAGAACCCATAATAATCTGTCAAAGCTGCTTAAGACAACATCTTAGGGACTACACCTGTCAAAAAAAAGAAGCGTCATTGATTTAGCCCACAGTCCAGCCATGACTTTCTGTGTACCAATAATTACATGTAACTGGACGCATTTTTATGGGTTTCTGCACAGAAAATCTCAGAGGACTTCCAGCAGCGTCTGGAGGACCAGCTGCAGGGGGCAATCGAGATATGTGGCCAGCTGGACCATGTTCAGAAGTTCATCGCCTGGGCTACGACCCACCACTGCAGAGGCCCGGTACTCTTCAGCAGGGCTCTGGTACGCTGACAGGACGGTCAACAGATGTCCACCGTCCTATTGTAACACACATAGTCCAATGAGGAAATAGTAATTTGTCTGTGAGAAAGTTGAACAACACATTTGACCACTCTTTTTAATTTGAAGTCTTCCTCTTTATATTTATATCCACCGAAACTATACACGTAAAGTTTACTAGCCACAGAAACTTGCAACGTTTTGATACCTGAAACTTTATGGAAGTACTAAATCATCTGCATAGTCTTTTAACCTAAAATTATGTTCACCAGTGACGTTTAGTACTTTAAAGCACAGTGCGGGATATTTGTGTTATTGGCAGCTTGGGATTTTTTGTTTTGCGCGTACCTTTACCTTTTTTAGTTTTTCGTATATTGAATATGTATTTTTCTTTCAGATTTCACTCCAAATGCAGCAACTGATTGAGCCGTTGATCCACCTGGACTCTTGGAGTCCTGTTAAGATCAAATTCAACTGGGATGCCAGTTACTGGACGAAGCAGGTTTCCTCTTTAGGTAAAATAAATTTTAGCAAGGTGGTTATATTATAGTATTGCATCATTAAATTAATTTATTCAAAAATGATTTCTTTTGCATGACAGGATTCAGTGAATTTGCTAAAGGTTTTTGAAATGGGATTTAAGCATAATAGTTAATGCTAGTGAATTTGTTGTTCTTGATATACCACTATGTTAATTATTAATACTATTATTATTTGCATGCATATGACAGATTGTGTTGAACAGAGCTCTCAATGTGACTTGGTTGCTCTGCAGGCCAGCTGACTGTTGAAGGAGGAAACTGCACTTATCCTCAGGGCTTGGCCTGCTCCAGTATTCTCAGGCCTCAGCCCATCACCTGCTTGGCTCTGCCCTCTGTGTGTCACAGAGGACGAGAACCGGGCTGTGGGTACCAGGCCTGCTGTGAGCCCCAGATGTGTTGCCTGCATGGCATCCCCTCTCAGCCCGATCTGTCCAGTGTAGACAAAAGCCAGCTGGAAGCCACATTTTATAACACCAGCTGTGTTCAGCCTGGCCTTATTTCTGCCTCCTTGCACCAGAGCCAGCAGCTCCAGAGGTGCTGGGACCCAGACAGCTTGTCGCAATGTCCTCCCACTTCATCACCTGTCCCAATCATGGGACCCATCCAGCTCAACTGCAGTCGAGGATCTACATCCCAGCCACAAGCTACTGCATCTCAGCCCCAGTCTCAAACAAAATCTTATCTCTATCACCAACACCAGAGAGACGCTCTTACAGACAGCCAGGATCAGCCAAGCGCAGACCGTAGCAGGCCAGGCCAGTGTCAGGGGAAGCTGTCGACCAGCACCGCTCTGCTTCAGGGTCTCAGCCGCACAGCTGTGGCCAGAGATGTGATGACTGAAGAGAACTGGGAGGAGAGATGCAGACTGGAGGCGACTCGTAGACAAACAGCGGGGACTGAAATTAGAGATCTTCTGGATGAGGCGCTGCAGCAGGACAAGAGGGAGCAGAGTCCGGTCCAAAAGCAGCAGCAGCAGCTCCGTGTTCCTCCGGCAGCAGAGCTGAGAAAAGAACACCAGAGAAACAGACCTGCACTGACGCTCAGAGACCACAGAGATGGCAGGGTGAGAGCATTAGGGAAGCAAGGATCTCTCTAATTTTATAGCTTTGTGAACTTAGCTGGTAATTAAATAATTATAATCAATAACCATTATCCATTAACCATGAGTTATTTCAATTTCAGAGTTTTCAATTCAAAATACATTTGGCTCACTTGACCATAAATCAACTTTTATGTATTATGTGCAAAAATGAAATAAAAAATAACCATTAGCAAGTAAGTATCAGCATTATGCATAAGCAGTTAGCTGTAATAACTAGGGGAGTTGATCCTAATTTCACATATAATGAATTGACTCACTTTAAGCATCAATTGAATTATAATTAGGCTTAACCTAATTTATAGCATCTTAAGATAAACCGTATGAGCAAATCTATCTGAAAGTTTCACACATTACACTTGACACAAGGAAACTGAAGGATGTATTATTGATTACATACAAATTATTAAAAAAATAAGGGATAACTTTGCATGAAAATACAACCTGTAAAACATTTTACATATCTGCCAACAGTGACAGTGCTGATAGCAATTAATTTGTGATTAGCCAAACTGTTTTTTTGGTGGGAATCAGTTTCATAAGGTGAAGGTTGTAGTAAAGCGACATAGTTGTGAACATTGTTTGAAAATTGTGCATATTTGTTTCAGCTACTGTGAGATCAAAGCATGCGGTGCGGTGGCATATTGTGCACCTCAGTTTTTGGTTTGTCACCTCACACGTGGTTCTACAAAGTTTCTATGGCCTTAAACTAATTTAAACCCTACTCACAACTCATGACATGCTCAACCACACAGCGCTGTTTATACACACCTCTCAAAAACCACAGAGTATTAGTCAGAGTCAGCCCTATTTCCTATAAAACACAGGTGTTCAAACAGACAAACACAAAGAACAAAAGACAGAGGCAAACAAACCCTAAATGTTTTATATATGGTAAGTGGTAATTGTATATTTTAGAAATGTTGAAGTTTAAGGGATTGTTGCATTCAAGGCAGTACCCAGTTTTAATTAATGTCTATAAATGACTGAAACTAAAGCCGCACTTTTTTTTAATGCCAGAATGATCACTTCCCACAGTTGACAGCTAGCCTGAAAACAGATGGTGCAACAGAACAGCGCTCCTGCTTTTATGAAGAAAGGATGACGGGAAAACAAAGAGCTACTCTGACAATTAAAGCTGAGCTGTTCAAAGCAATGCATCTGAAAAAAAAAAACAGGAGAGCACTGTTCATCATAATCACACTTGATGCCAGAGGTTTGAGCAGCCACATAATCACCTCTCAAAAAATTCTCAGGGCGCACACAGGGTAAAGTACAAACACAAAGATGTATTATATTTACATTTTCAAGTCACGGCATCTGAAAACGACATAAAACCACTTGGGCGCAGTCATTTATGTACTTAACCTGTCATTAATGAGTCACTAAGGGAATAGAGGGAGCTGCCAGTTTGATTTCAGTTCTGGTTTGCACTCTGAGATAAATTCCTACACCCCTCCCCCTTCTGGAGAGGATTATAGTCTATTTTCTTCTACAGTCTGAATCCTGCATACCTTTCCCAAGGGGCATGGATCAGGTAAGTGTTTTAATCGCATGAAACTTAGGAGCACGTGCTCGGCAGCAGCCTGGCCTGAATATGTATTATGGTGCACTAAAAAAAAGAGGAAAGAGGGACATGTCTTAAAAAAATGTGCCGTTAAATGATTCGTCAGTCCTCCTTCGCACATTAGTGAAGCTGTGAAGACACAGCTGAGGTGTTTAAAGTAGCTTTTCGTGACACTAGTTCAGTTATAGATATAAGAGAAGAAGGAGAGAGTGGTAGTAAGTAATTTGCTATTCTGGTTTAATCAAAGGGCCACACTGCACTCCTGATAGTGAATTTACATATGATAATTGGTGCTGAAACCAAACCTTTCATTGCCTGTATGATAACAGTAATATATGCAGCTGTGTCCCAGAATAGGCTCTAAATTATGTTTTTGTTCATATAGTGTGTGCCTCTAGGTGTGTGTGCTTGTGTGACACTGAAGGTTATTCCCACATCCCGCTCCTTTTCTCTTCTTTCTGTTATTAATGGCGCAAACAGGTGTGTCTGTGCATGTGATGCAGCTCGAAACCCTGCTCAGTTTTGTATGCTTATGTTTCTGACAGAGATCCACATCCCTGGAGGTGTCTTTGACAGCCCACGAGTGTGCATCTGATGTGCAGAGCAGCAGACCCAGCCCCAGTTCAGTGTGCACAAGGAGGACGAGACGCTCCCAGAGCATCCCGGCAGAACTGGCAGCACCATCCGCCAGCCCTTACACTGAAAGGCCCACAGGATGCACTCCCGGCCTAGAGACAGGAGCGGCGAATAAGGTAATCCTGCATCAGAATGTGAACACACATGGGTTTTGAGAAAACAACCTCACCACCAAGATTCATTTAGTAACTGTTCTTGTCCTTTCATCAAATAATCTTTATCAGCAGATGGAGTTGCTTTCTTGTCATGGACATGCACTTTAAGGACTTCTCATCCATGTGAAAGGATAACTGTGCCGCTTTTACACGTCAAAGTCTGTTTACAGGTCTTGGGGAATGCTACTGCATATGTGATTAAAAGTTGTATTAAGCTTTTGTGGCTCTAGAGGGAGCTGTGTGAAATCTGATAAATTTGTATCAGTATTTGTATAAATATGTAGGCGCCAGGCTTTGACAAAGATGAAGCATGCACAGAACTTTTGTAAAAATAAGAGAGTCGGACAATGTGATGTGCAATGCTAAATCAGTGCAGTACTTGTTTAAAAAATCCTATAAATCCTTTGCAAGTCATAGTTTGGACAAATTTTGTTTGTTCTCAGTATGCCAGTATGGATCCCAGACAGAGGAGAGCTTCAGATGGGGTGCTTTGTACTGTCAAAGAAACTTTGTCTGACGCTGTCCCCACCAGAGGCCACCGGTCTCCTCTACTGTCCTATAAGACAGAGCCAGGTGCTGGAAAACAATACTCATGATCATGTGATTATTTCTTATATCCCCAAATCAACTAAATATAAAGTTTATCAGTACATGCTCATAATCTTTCTCTTTTTTAGATCATTCTTTCACTTATGTAAATGAAGAGACTGATTATGAGGCCAAGGAGAAATGTAGGGTGTCTAGAACTGACAACAACAGGTATGTAATAGCTGTCAAGTAAAACATCTGTCCATAAACAAATTGTGAAAATAAGTTTTTATCATTCATTCTCTACTTGCTTCTAAAGTGACAGGGATGTTCAGAAGGACTTAGGAAGCTCCAAGGTTCCAGTGGTTTGCTTAGAGCGTCTCAAAATACTTGTGTCTCAACTCCCCCCACATGGACGACGTCAGAGTGACCCTTTACCTGCCAGCGGGGCAGAAAAGAGCCAAACTATCCTTCAGCAGAGACCCTGGCACGATGCAACACCCGAAGTACTTCTCATTTCTTTACATTCAGAAAAGGAAAGCTGATCCTATAAAAACACCAGAGCAGTCACCTTACATAACATTTTCATTCTTTTTTTATTTATGATAGCTTTATTGAAATGGTCAGAACCTTTGTTTTTCTGACACATAATAATAAGTCTGATATAATAATCAATGGCTTATATTACTTATTACTATTTAATACCTATATATTTTCACAGCAGTAGAAACATAACCGGATATAAATATTGAAGTATCTTTTAAAAAGAAAAAAAATTACACCTTCTCATGTGTAAGGTTGAGTTTTGAACCTCAAGACTTTTTGAATACCAACTGAAGTGTGTCTGAAGCAAATATTAAAAACTGTCAAGTTCTTGTTTATGCACTTACTTATTTACATAATTTCTTTTTTTACAGTATTTCATTAAGGTCTTGTCTGGCTTCTTGTGTTTAGACGAAATGTATAATTTGAGAACTTTGGCTTAAGTAATGTATCAAAAAGTAGTGTTTTGCTACACAGTAATGCTGTATTGGGTCTAGGGGAGCAGATTAGAGCATGTACAAAATAAAAAATGCGTAATTTAGGGTTTCGCACCTTATGCATGATCTACATATTGTCATTTGTTTGATGTGGTGTATAATGTGTAAAGTGTGCCTAAAAAGTTTAAGACATCTTCTCTTCTTTTCTATGTCGTAAACATAGGGGATAGCTGGAGGCACGGAGACCACAAGGGCCAACCGCTCTCTCACAGCGCCACCATATGCAGAGAGCCAGAACTGTAATCAGTCTGCCACACACTCGACCACCCGTGAGTTTGACAGCCGAGGGACAATCAGCTCTCGTAAAGCATCCACGCTGCCACCCACTGACTCACCTAATTATGTGCCACAGAGCTACTCTGCACTGGAGCTGGACTCTGACTCCGATCCAAGATCAGTCTCAGAAGGCGCAGTGGTTTCTTGGGCTGATCCAGACCCACAGCTAGACTCAGATGCATCACCAGATTCAGACCCAAACGCAGAGTCTTCATCTGAGGCTGAACTCGATTGTCTGGCTGTGGAGAAATCTCTGGTTGCAGGAGATCTGGTGCTCTGCGGTGAAACTGATATTGCTGGGGATTCAGAGCCAAGTCTTGAATATGAGGCAGACCCAGAATCCGATGCAGGAGCAGGATCAGAGGACGGCCAAGGGCTGGACGCTGATGTGGAATCAGGCGATGCTGAAACAGAGTCAGATGTCCAGCCTGGCTATAATGATCCCAGGTTTCAGGCAGAGAACTACTCTGACATTGTATTTGATCAGCCTCCGCACTCTCAGGGCTCTGTGGAGTCTGAGTTTGACGTCGAATCTGAACCTGAACTGGCTACTGACGACCCGCAACCGCTTCGCTCTGACCTGGAAGATGACGCCCACATTGTTCCTGGTCAGAGGCCTCTTCTGATTGCAAACCCTGTCGCTCAAATAGGCACTGGGGAAGTCCAGCCTGGCGAGGACAAAGCAGAGATGGAGAGCGAGGACTTCTGTGCTGTGTGTCTCATTGGAGGGGACCTGCTGTGCTGTGACCGCTGTCCAAAGGTTTTTCATCTGTCTTGCCATATCCCATCACTGCTAAGCTTCCCCTCGTAAGTTTTCTAATACTGTTGCACGTTCAACATTATCCTCTCGCCTCCAATCGAATTGTTTATTTGGAGCTGTTGACCTGATGCTTTTTCTTGTCCTGTTCAGAGGCGACTGGGTGTGTAGCCTGTGCAGAGATGTTGAGCAGCCAGAGGTTGAGTACGACTGTGAGAATGAGAGAACATCTGGAGAACACACATCTGCACAAGGACTGCCTGCATGTGACCAGAGAGTAAGTCATTTCGTTAGCTGCATTGGTTTCCTGTGACCGTGTTCGTTTTCCTGCATTTCTAACAACTGTCTTTCATGTTTGGTCGACTCTTTGTAGAAATGTGAGCGGCTGACTCTTCTGATCCTCAGTAACATCCTGAGTGCTCCATTTCACGAGCCTGTCAGTCCACTTGTGAGTTATCACCTTTTTCTCACAGTATAGTAAAGGACAACTTATTTTCACAATCTAGTTTTCTTGATACTTCCGGGAACACAGTAGCGTCATGAAGACTTTTCCTCATGTTTTGGCGCACATAAACACACTTTGATTGCTGGGTTTGGGGGGTTTAAAGGTATGTGGAGTTAATAAGTGTATTCTTGAGACCTGATAAATATGCTGAATGCATTTCCTTCCAACTTTGCAAAGCTGATTTTTTAAAATATTTCATTGTTAATATCAATGTTGCCATTAGCTTGCGGTCTTTTTCTTCTTCTCTGCCTCTGCAGTACAGCATTTCTTGGTGCATTAACACATCCAACTGTCGATCAGCTTTCAACTATTGGCCGATATGTGTGTAGCATCGATGTGTGCTTACATGCACGCACGTGCGTCCTCGTGAGCATGTATGAGTAAAAATAATGCACGATAGTCGGTGCTAGTGGTCCAATACTCCACAGGGTACCTTTAATATTCATACCTTAGGTTACCCTTTCTTGAGTCCTATGCAGCTGTAGTTATTAAGTTTAGACACTATCAAGACTCTACAGTTTGTATGTGCATATCTGACTCATTATTGTCTGAGCATGTTTTATCCTAAGGAGAAAATAGGAATGCCTGATTTAGATTAAGATTCTGTTGTTCAGCAAGTACCCTACACATAGGTGGTTTGTCACAGTGATGCATTTTGACTGCAGAAAGAGTTATAACGTAATTACAGTGGAACTAAAGTGGCTGAGTGGGTTTAATCTAAAATGGTCTCAAATATCACTCCTTTTCATGCAGGCTCGTCATTACTACCAGATCATTAAGAGGCCTATGGACCTGTCTGTGATCAGGGCCAAACTCAACAAGAGGAATCCCCGACATTATAACTCACTGGACCAGTTTGTTGCTGATGTCTATCTCATGTTTCACAACTGTGCAAAGTTCAATTATGTAAGTTAAAAACAGACATCCTGTATGTGTGTAACCAGTGCACAATTTGTCTCATAATGAAAAAAAACAGTTAATCCCTGTTTAAATTATAAATATAATCCTCACCAGTCAGTGCTTCACTAGCTCTGATCCGAGTGTAATAGCTCTTTCTCTCTCTGACCACAGCCTGACTCTGAGGTGGCCCAAGCAGGCAGCAGCCTCGAGGCATTCTTCACCTCCAAGCTGAAAGAAGTTTTTCCAGACACAGTCTTCCCCGCGGCTGAGGCGGACTCTGACAGCGATGAGTACGATGAGGCCTACAGGACCGCTGAGAATGGTTTCCCCTGGCCAGAGAGGAGGGAGCAGTGCCACAGGAAGAGGAAGAGGAGACACTCTCTAAAGTCAAGGAAACAGCACTTCTAACCAGAGGTGAATGGAGTGCAACCATGGACACAACTATGCTGTATTTCTGTGTCATTTTTATTTTTTTTAAGTGGCAGCCTGTGGGGCTGTAAAGACATTTCCATTCTGTAATCTGAAAGTACCCCTAATTTGCGGTTTGCAATAATATTACAGTGCTGCCATCCGATGGCAGTGGAACATATTGAAAAAAATATTTCAAATATCTGAAATGAAGAAGCTGTTATTATCTCTGCAGAGAGAGGAGCAGAGAGTGTAAAAACTATATGCTACACATTTGGATATATCTGTATCTCTTTGGAGAAATCCAGCAGTTGTTGGTTTACTTCTGTAGCCAAGTTATGATAGTGAGGTGATGCTGTAATTGTTGTCATATTATACTTTGCCCATTGATGAATTGATTAGTTACTGGATTTACATTCAGACTTCCTATGATCACTTATCTGATGTTAATGGATGCTGCAGTTGGATGTTTATTAATCTCACTTTGCATCTTTATTAAGTGGATTTTTTAGGTGAACATAGCTCTGATTACACAAAGCACTTTGAAACTTTGATATTGGCAAATACTGTATTTACCATCCCCGTGACCCTATATGCAGGATAAGCGGTTGACGATGGATGGATGGATGGTTGGATGTATTTACCATATTCGTAAACATATGTATACATGTGTAATTGTACAGAACTTTATTTTACTATATTTGTCCTTTCAGTTACTAAATGATTGCAGGCAATTGTCATAGGTTTGATTATTGATATAATTGTGTGTCTCAGTAGCTTTAAAAAAAAACAGCAGCAGTGAATCTTAGCAGTCTCTTGCCTTTGTCTTTTTGACCAGAGTGATACAGAATGTGAGGGCACTATTAAACAGTGTTAGAGCTCAACAGGGCAGATGTATTTTCATGTTTGTTAGAGGACTTAATATCCAGATGAAATGATACATTTTTATTTTACATTTAACCAGAAATTAAATTTGTGTATATGTTACGTAGCCTTTCTGTTCCACCAGTGTTTCAGCAAACTGTTGTACTCTTCTGTTTTCCAAATATCTTGGGCTTATTAAGAGTGTAAGGTATTGATATCATTCAGTAATGGTGATTATAAAAATGTCCTTGCTATTGGTAGAGCTGCTCTGTGGAGAGGGAATATGTCATTTTATGATAGCCGCTGTTGTAGAGCATTTCCTGTTTTTAAACATTCTTTACTTGCTTCCTGCAGCTTAAAATAGAATTTACTTGACATTTAGAGTAATTTTCTGCACAAATTATTGTCTGTGCACTCCTTGATCATTGTCAAGGGTAGTGAATATACAGTAAATGTAATGTTACTTCCTTTCAAATCAATCGATGTAATAATATTTCCTATTGTATGACGGAAGACTGATAAAGTAGAGTTACCGTCACTGTTGTCACTTTTCTTTCTTTCTTTTTTTACTCTTAAGTCAACGATAAATGCACATAAATTGCTATCAATAAAATGTATACAAGAGAAAATATGTTTCTTATTTGCCATCTGCCATTATTAATCGTTTATGTGTTATATGTTACAGGAAACAGACAAATTTACATAATTAATCAGCATTTACAGCACCATAGTGTACTGTAAATGTTTATCTACTGTATGCAGCCAGCACTCACTATTTACAGACGCAAGAAAAAGTATGTGAACCCTATAGAATTACCTGGATTTCTGCATAAACTGGTCGTAAAATGTGATCTGATTTTCATCTAAGTCACAATAGAAAAACACAGTCTGCTTAAACTAACTCCACACAAACAATTATATCTTTCCATGTTTTTATTGAACACACCGTGGTTACAGTCACAGTGCAGGGTGGAAAAAGTATGTGAAACCTTGGATTTAATAACTGGTTGACTCCTTGGCAGCAAAAACCTCAACCAAATGTTTCTGTGGTTGCAGATCAGACCTGAACAACGGTCAAGAGGAATTTTGTACCATTCCTCTTTACAAATCTGTTTCAATTTAGCAATATTCTTGGGATGTGTGGTGTGAATCGCTCTCTTGAGGTCATGTTACAACATCTCAGGCGCGTTGAGGTCAGGAGTCTGACAGGGCCACTCCAGAAGGTGTATTTTCTTCTGCTTTGGATCGTTGTCCTGTTGCATCACCCAGCTCCTGTTGAACTTCAACTGGCGGACAGATGGGCTGATATTCTCCTGCAAAATGTCTTGATAAACTTTGGAATACATTTTTACGTTGATGACAGCAACCCTTCCAGGCCCTGAGGCAGCAATGCAGCCCCAAATGTCACCTCCGCCATACCTCAAAATTGGGATGAGGTTTTGATGTTGGTGTGCTGTGCCTATTTTCCTCCACACATAGGGTTGTGTGTTCCTTCCAACTTTGGTTTCATCTATCCACAGAATATTTTGCCAGTAGTGCTGTGGAACATCCAGGCGCTCTTTTGCAAACTTCTGACTTGCAGCAGTGTTTTTTGGACAGCAGTGGCTTCCTCTGTGGTTTCCTCCCATGAACTCTATTCTTGTTTAGTGCTTTATGTATCGTAGAGTTGTCAACAGAGATGTTAACGTGTTCCAGAGATTTCTGTGAGTCTTCTAGGATCCTTCTTAATCTCTTTGAGCATTCTGCTCTGTGCTCGTGCAGTCATCTATGCAGGACGGCCACTCCTGTGCTCCAGTGCTGAAGTTTTTCCATTTATAGACAATTTGTCTTACTGCGGACGGATGAACATCAAGGCTTTTAGAGATACTTTTGAAACCCTTTCCAGCTTCATGCATGTCAACAATTCTCAATCTTAGGTCTTCTGAGAACTATTTTGGTCGAGGCATGGTTCACATCAGGCAATGCTTCATGGGAATAGCAAAATTAAAATTGATGTGGTTTTTTTTTTTATAGGGCAGGCAGCTCTAACCAACACTTCCAATCTCGTCTCATTGATTGGACTCCAGGTTGGCTGACTCCAATTAGCTTTTGGAGAAGTCATTAGCCTAGGGGTTCAAATAGTTTTCCCACCCTGCACTGTGACTGTTTACTCAGTGTGTTCAATAAAAGCATGAAAATGTGTAATTGTTTGTGTGGTATTAGTTTAAGCAGACTGTGTTTATTGTTGTCTATTGTTGTGACTTAGATGAAAATCAGATCACATTTTATGACCAATTTATGCAGAAATCCAGGTAATTCCAAAGGGTTCACATACTTTTTCCTAAACTGTAGTTTGGCAGAAGCTTATTGTGATTTTTTGAGCTTCTTTCCTAAAACCTACAGTAGCAAACATGTAAATCCATTAAGATAAATTCATACAAATTTTATCTAACCTTTATTTACTTTGGAAGGTTGCACATCTCCCGTATTTATTATTTATAAATTTTCTGATAAAATATGTGATCTTCCTGCAAAGTATTTCTTCTAAATGCATTTCAACACGATGTATTAAGATATTTCAATATGGATGTAATCGTCCATCATGTCAGAAGGGTCCTGATAGGTTTGGGGGACCGTGAATAAAGGTTCCATCTTCTACTCTAATTTCCTTGTGTCTTCTCTGATTAAACTCAATGATGATGACAATGATTGAAATATCCAATGCCAAAATCCCTCTCCAAGGTAAAGTGATGATAAATCCAGCCTATTTGTGTTGGATGATAAAACCTGAATGGTGAGTGAATCAACGGAGGCCATACTGGAAATTGTTGCTACAGCCAACCAACTGTGCAACATGGCATGAATTGCTTGCACAAGCACTTTTTAAATACTGCTAAGTAAAAACAAATCAATGTCCCTGCAGTTTTTACTGATAAATTTAACAATATAATTTGTGTGAGGGAAGATGCAAGGATCTATTTTAAAATGATTTGGAGCTCATAAGCTGTAAAGCAGCATGAATCAACCCCGCTGTAGTGCAAAATGAAGTAATGCTAGCTTTATCTCTACATCATAAACAAAGACACAAATAAGTCAGTACAATGTTCTGGGTACATTATAGCTTCACGATCAGTTAATGCAGTTTGTGTGGGGCAGTGAGTTGACACGTGTTTACCACAAACAGCTATTGATGAAACCACAAGCTAAATTGAGCTTTACAGCCGAGGTATCAACACTTCTGAAACCCTTGAGAATTTTTTTAAAACAACCAGTGAGGGAAATCTTCCCACAGATCATGTACTCTAATATCGATTAATAGAGGCAGAGGTTTTAATACAACTTTTAAAGCTACTGTCATAAACTATTGAAGAGTTAAAGTAAGTCCTTCCCAAAGACATATTATAATACACTTCATTTACAACCTGATTCAAACCGGATTTCAAACAACGAAGAGACTTCATATCAGGAGGAAATCCATATTCTTGCAGAGTGGTGCTCAGAGAACAACCTATAGCTCAGCATCAGCAAAACTAAGGAGCTGATCGTTGATCATTTCAGGAAAAAGGCGATAGAGACACACACTCGTGTCTACATAAGTGGTGCTGAGGTGGAGCAGGTGAATAGTTTCAAGTTCCTGGCAATCAGCATAACGGAGAACCTGGCATGGTTGTCTCACATCTCCATGCTGGTGAAGAAAGCTCAGAAACGACTGTATTTCTTGAGGAAGCTTAAGAAGGCCAAATTCCCACGGCAAGATTTTGTCAGCTTTTTAAAGAGGAGCAATACAAAGCATCCTGACTGGGAACATCACAAACTGGCATGGGATGTGCACGACCAGGTGATTAAAACTGCTCAGAAGATCATTGGTACCCATCTCCTGAGCATCAGTGATAACGGTGAGGTGAGGTTCCTACGCAGAGCCCAAAGAATACTAAAGGACAGTACCCACCCAGCTACAGCCTGTTCACCCTGCTGTTCACCCTGCTGCCTTCTGGGAAGAGATATAGAAGTTTCTGCTGCACCAGACTGTAGAGCAGTTTCACCCCCGTAGCTATCAGACTTTTAAACTCTAAGTCATCCTCAGCACTGCTCCAGTGATGATAGTTTGTTTCTGTTTACCATTTTTCATAATTGGTTCTTTATTAATGTATATCGTCTGCTATGTAGCAGAAGGGAGTTACAAAACTTAATTTTACTCTATAACTTGTTATACTGTGACAATAAACCTACCTACTTATCATCATAGCAGTATGAAAGTTTTTGGAACTGGAGGTGCGAGGAGGGGATTGAGGACTCTTTTACCCTTAAGTTTGGCCTTCAAGGTAGGCATTTCCATCAAAATGTAGCCATGATTGTAAACCAAACATAATGTTTTAAACAGCCATGATTGGCAGAGCTTCAATGGGGCAGCAACCTGCCTGAGAGGTAGCAGCACCTACTAGAAGACAGCATTCAGGGCAAAAATAAATTAGATATCATTTTGGCTCATTAATTTAGTTTACAAAGGCACCAGCAGCACTTGATTTCTCCATGTCTTCTTCTATCTGAATTCAATGAATGTGGAAACCTCTGTTTTCAACTCAAACTGCAAACGTTTTAGTCATTTTGCACCACTGTAGGTTTTATTAAAAATGCAGTGAAAAAAAAGTACAGTTAGAGTCAAATTGTCTAGAAAGCAGGAGAAAAAGAGAGATGCAGATCGCAGGAGTCTGTCGGCAGCACAGACATGATGTCAACCCGCTGCCTGGCTCTGAGGATGTTTACCCAGGAGACACTGCTGGCTCCTGCCTCACATCACACACAAGATTTTGGGGACAAAGAGTTTTGAAAATGAGTTAGAAATGTTTAATTGCATGTAAAACAATACTGTGATTGTGTTCCAAATTTAATTGTCTTTCAATGGCACTGCTTTCCTTTCAGTGTCTGAAAATCTGTTTTAGATTTAATCACACAATGGAAAGAGAGGTTTACCTTAATAGGGCAATTGATTTCTGAAGAAAGGAGAGCTTTGTTGTTGAAATAATAGGACCCTCTCAGTATCAGAATCAGAATCAGAATCAGAAATACTTTATTGATCCCTGAGGGGAAATTCTGTGTCACAGTTGCACACATTAAACATCAAGGCAAAAGGAATATAAATAATAATAGAAAGTTGGTATATAAAGAAGTATAGAAATATCAGAGTGAAAACATAAAATACAAAGAAAATATAAAGGCGAATGGATATGTACAGTATTTACGTGATGAAAAGAATTGTTATGGTTATGAATAAATGGGAGCAGAAGCAGCAGAGTATTACACATTAAGTATTTAAAGAGGTACTATTGCACAAAACAGATAATAATGTCCAGTTTAATAACTAACTAAGTGTCTGTATGTCAGACACTTAGAGGAAGGAGTTATAAAGTTTGATGGCCACCGGCAGGAATGACTTCCTGTGGTGCTCTGTGGTGCATTTAGTACAGTTGTAGTTTGACAAGTTCAGTGTTTTAATGTTTAATGTTATGGTTATATAATGGTTATTTAGGGACAGGGATAAAATCCTAATTAACATTACATTGCTCATTTTCTTTTCTTTATTCTTATGTTTCTACACATACAGCAGCAAGTCAAAAGTGTTATATGTACACTGTTTTGGTCAGGGGGCATCCTGTTATGTTTTGAATCTTGAAAAAGGTTTGTGACCTTTCAGTCAGCAGACTTGGAGTACATTACATGATAATAATGAGACACATCTGTGACCTTTGGTGAACGAAAAGGGCTGAAAGAAAAGTACTGAGAGAAAAATGAGAGCTGACCAGTGAAGCAGTCTGTGAAATCAAAGTTAGGAGTCTCTTTGTGCTGTGGAGAGAGAGGGGAGCTGAATTATGTGGCATTATGTGTGAATTGAATTTCCCATTGCCACATAATATAACTACATGGCACGTTTTAAAATAACAACATAATTACATTTGTAGCATTTTAAGTGTAATGCACAATGTGTATAATATCGCTGCTAAATAATAAATAAAATGAGGTACAAATTATCTGCATTCTGCACACGTGACTTGTTGTTCTCAATATCTATAGCATGTCAAAAGTCTGTATCATCTGTACATAGTCAATCTTTTTGCCTTCATGCTTGAAAAACGTCTCTTGTTGGCTGTGAAAGGGCAGAGACTCTGCACTTGTCTGTGCAGTGGTAGGTAGTGTACAGAGAAAAGAGGAAGGAAAATTTTAACAACTCATTTCACACTTATACTATTTATACTGTTGACACTGTTTTTACTGTAATGACAGGCCTGACGTACTGTTTTGCCTGTAAATTATGCATGGTAGAGAGTACAATGTAGGTTATATGAAAGTATGACAACTTTATATGTGTGTCTGTTTAACTAATGTATCTGATGTTCAGCCCATCATAGAATAAATATAATGTTGAGTTAATGTTAGACCAAGATAGGTGCTAATGGTAGAACATAATACTGAAAGAATTCCTTAGCTCCCAATCACCACACTTGTGAGGATAGAAAAAAAAATATTAGTGATCTGGACATGTGATTTATTTTCCTCTAAAGCTAACTGGGGGACTTCCAACCTTTAGCTGGAGGGAAATTAGATCACATTTCAGTGGATCATGCTTTTGTGATCACCAGTGGAACTACTGGGCATTGTTATGAAAGAATAAGCAGCAATCAAACAATATTAAAATTTTTTGTTTGTGTGTCAAGATTCAAGTCTTTAGTTTTACTTAAGATTTCCATGCAACAAGGTTTCCATGCAAAACTATTAGTAATAATGACAAACATGCATAACTCAAATGGAAATTATACTGATGTATATTGAAAAATATAATGTAATATATTCCACCACTTTCAATATATAGAAAAACTCCAGATATAGTGCAGTACAAAAATATTAGTGATCTGGACATGTGATTTATTTTCCTCTAAAGCTAACTGGGGGACTTCCAACCTTTAGCTGGAGGGAAATTAGATCACATTTCAGTGGATCATGCTTTTGTGATCACCAGTGGAACTACTGGGCATTGTTATGAAAGAATAAGCAGCAATCAAACAATATTAAAATTTTTTGTTTGTGTGTCAAGATTCAAGTCTTTAGTTTTACTTAAGATTTCCATGCAACAAGGTTTCCATGCAAAACTATTAGTAATAATGACAAACATGCATAACTCAAATGGAACTTATACTGATGTATATTGAAAAATATAATGTAATATATTCCACCACTTTCAATATATAGAAAAACTCCAGATATAGTGCAGTACAAGCCAGAATTGCATGATTTGTCTTCACAAACATGTAACAATATACTATAACAATGAAATAAAATACTGTATATTTTTTAATACTCAGAAATTAAATGTATGGAAAATATCATTCTTTTATAAAAAGTACAGTACATTGTTTGTTAAATTCCATAATACATTGCAGGTATGCTATATTATTGAAAGTATGCTAATATATTAAATGCACAATATGCTTAATATACTGTATATTTTCTTTGCAAAGAGGTGTGCAGCATATAAGGATGCGTACAAACCTTTTATGAAGGAAGTCTCTGAGCAATTTCAATTATCTAGCTTTTGTATTGTGGAACCTGCATGCATCTGCAGCACTCACTCCCTCTTTTTTACTCTAACATACACTGGGTGGCGATGGTGCGTTGGATAAGGCTATGCCTTTGGTGTGAGAGACTCAGGTTCCATCCACCAATGTGTCCCTGAGCAAGACTGTAGTCCCTAGCAATTTTAAGTTGCTTTGGATAAAAATGAATAAATGTAATATTATCCCCAGTGGTTCTGGACAGATTCCTAACAAAACATTTAATTGGAGAGAATGTAAATATACACATTAAACCAGTAATCATAGAATAAATTATTACAATAAAGGAATAAGTATAAGAGTAGCTTTACTTATATAGAACTTATTAAACAAAAGTACTACAAAGTGCTTCACAAAAGACACAGGGAGAAAAAAAAGGGTATGATAAGGGTAAGGATAAGATAAAATACATAAGGACAAAAACAATAAAAAAATATAAAAATAAAAATGGAAATCATAAGTAATACAGATTGACCATACGAGAAAGATATAGCATTTATTGCTCTCATGGGTTTTCCACCGTGTTTCTGTGGGCTCACACTAATTAAATTGTATCAATTTTAAAGTGACTCAACAAAACGTCTCGGGTTACGTATATAACCCTTGTTCCCCGAGAAGGGGAACGTGACACTGCATCGGTGACGACACTATGGGAACGCCCCTGGGCGTGGCAGGGCTGAACTATGAATGGAACTACTCCAATCTTATTGGTGTTACTAGAACGGTAGTGTGTGACGGCGTAACTGGAGGGGGTATATAAGCACGCCGGCACATAGGACACATTAGCCCTTTCTATGAAGCAAGGCACTCCAGGCGGGGTGAGGTGTGGCGGACCGACGCAGTGTCTCGTTCCCCTTCTCGGGGAAAAAGGGTTACATAGGTAACCCGAGACATTCCCCTTTGAGGGAACTCGAACTGCGTCGGTGACGACACTATGGGAAAGAGATACCCACTTAGGCCGCGCCGATACCCCGCCTGCCCCCAGCGTGCAGAACCTGACGGCACGACTAGGAGGAGAGCGCACGGGTGCCGGGTGCAGAAGGAAGGTCCAGACTGTAAAACCGGATAAAAGTGTGAGGGGTGGCCCAGCCAGCCGCATCACACAAATCCTGGAGTGACGCCCCTGCGAGGAGGGTCCTAGAAGCCGCCATGCCTCGAGTAGAGTGCGCCCTTACAGCCATAGGTGAAGGCAAACCGCGCACCTGATAGGCCAGGGAAATAGTCTGAACGATCCAGTTGCTGATGGTGTGATTAGAAGCGGGGAGCCCAGCCTTGGGGGAGCCGAAACACACCAGCAACTGGTCTGCTTTCCTCCACCGGGAAGACCTCAGAGTGTAAATACTCAGTGCTCTGACAGGGCAGAGCAGATGAAGTCTCCCGTCCTCCGCTGTCACATGAGGTGGGGGATGAAACGCCTGCAACACCGTGGACCCTGCCAGTCTGGCTGGAACATTAGGGACATAACCTGGACAAGGGTGCAGGATGGCCCTGACCCTCCCCGGGGGAAACTCCAGGCATCGGGGAGACACCGACAGTGCCTGGAGATCCCCCACCCTCCTCAGAGAGGTGATAGCGAGGAGAAAGGTCATTTTAGGGGTCAGGTGCTTGGCCTCAGCCGACTCCAGGGGATATTAAATCCGAGAACCACACTCGTGCCGGCCAAAACGGGGCTACTAGTAGTAGGCTGACGCCGTCCTGGCGGACTCGCTCCAGAACCCCCGGGAGCAGAGCGACTGGGGGAAACGCATACAGACGCAGCCTCGGCCACGTCTGTACCATGGCATCCAGCCCTAGCGGGGCTGGGGGTGATAGGGAGAACCACAGGGGACAGTGTGCCGTCTCTCGGGACGCAAACAAGTCCACGTCTATGGGGCCGAACTCTTCGCATAATAACTCCACCACCTCGGGGTGGAGTCTCCATTCCCCGGGCCTCAACCCCTGTCTCGACAGCAGGTCTGCTCCTTGATTCTGGGTCCCAGGGATGTACATCGCTCTGAGGGACAGCAGTCTCTCCTGGGACCACAGGAGGATCCGATGTGCCAGTTTGCATAATGGGTGCGAGCGCAGACCCCCCAGGTGATTCAAATAGGCCACCACCGCCGTATTGTCGGTCCTGACAAGGACGTGGCAACTGCGGAGAGCGGGCAGAAAACTCCTCAGAGCTCTGAAAACCGCCAACATTTCCAGGCAATTTATGTGCCAAGAGAAATGATGCTCCTCCCAGGAGCCTCTCGCGAAGCGGTCGTCCATGACTGCGCCCCATCCCGTGAGTGAGGCGTCTGTTGAAATAATTGTTCGGCGACAGATTGCTCCCAACACAGGACCTTGGGACAGGAACCAAGGCTTCCTCCATACTGATAGGGAACGAAGGCATCCGCTCGTAACCCCTATCAGACTGAGCGGATTTCCCCTCGGGGAGAATCCCTTGGATTTTAGCCACCACTGCGGGGCTCTCATGTGCAGTAGTCCGGAAGGTATTATACTGGACGCTGCTGCCAGAAGACCCAACACCCTCTGAAAGTGTTTCACAGTGATGGCGCGGCCTAACTGCACTTTGGTCACTGAGGATAAAATGGACTCGATGCGTGCGGGAGACAGGTGGGCCCGCATCGTCGTTGAGTCCCACACCACCCTTAGGAACGCAGTCCGTTGGGCGGGTGTCAGCACACTCTTCTTCGCGTTGAGCCGCAGCCCCAAACGCTGAAGGTGGGCGAGGACGACATCTCGATGCCGAACCGCTAACTCTCGAGACTGGGCCAGGACGAGCCAGTCGTCGATGTAGTTCAGTATGCGGATGCCCTGGAGCCTCAACGGAGCCAGAGCTGCATCCATGCATTTGGTGAACGTGCGGGGAGATAGTGCTAGGCCGAACGGAAGAACCCGATACTGGTAAGCCGTGCCCCCGAAGGCGAACCTCAGGAACTTCATGTGAGAGGGACGGATGGAGATGTGGAAATAAGCGTCTTGTAGATCTATCGTGACAAACCAATCCTCGGATTGCATGTGACTGATGATGGCTGGGATGGTAAGCATCCTGAACCTGAATCTCCTCAGAGATTGGTTCAGGGACCACAAATCCAAAATCGGACACAATCCTCCGTCCTTCTTGGGGACCAGGAAGTATCGGCTGTAAAAGCCGGCTTCTCTGACTGGCAGGGAAATTAATTCTATGGCCCCTTTCTTCAGAAGAGAGCGGACTTCCTGTCCCAACACCTGGCTCTGTTCTGCGTGTACTGTAGTCCCGACCATCCCGCAGAATCTGGGGGGGCGAACCCGGAACTGCAGCCTGTAGCCATCTACTACTGTGCGGAGGACCCACGGGGAAATGTTCGCGAGGCTTCGCCAAGCTTCCGCGAACTTCGCCAAGGGGACCAGTCCCTCGGGGCTGGTGGTCGGTGTCCCGCGGGAATCCCGGGTGGCGCCCTGAAGCGGAGGGCCGCCAGGGAAGGCTCGCCGGTGAACCACGGTTTGTGAGCCCAGTCGTGTTCCGGCTGACGCCCCTCGGGGCGGACAGATCGGTGAGGGCCTGCCGGCGGCTAGCGCGTCCCAAGTGCTGAAGCGGTGGGAGGAACAACGCCTGTTGCTGGAGCCACCATGAGAGAGGGGACCTCGATCGGCCTCTCTCAGGGGAAGGGGGGTAGGGAGGGAGAGGAGACGGGGGGTGGTGGTGGGTCCCCCTACTCGAGGTCCCAGGACCTCTTCCCCCGGGCCCGCCGAGACTGAATGATGGTCCTCAGATCCGTCTTCCCGGGGGGCTGTGGGTGAGAGCGCCGTCTCGCGTCCCAGGTTGGTTGAGGGGGATCCCGCGAAGCGACGCTCTGCTTCTGGCTGTGGCGGTAGGTGCTGGATGAAGGCTGCGTCCGCCTTTCCTGAGCCGTCGCGGTCCTGGAGTCTGACCGGCGGGGGAGATATCACTCAAATGCCTCTCCCTGAGTTTTGGCGTGCTGGAACCTGTTGACGACAGCATCCACTGCTTCGCCAAACAGGCCAGAAGGCGAGAGGGGCGCATCCAGGAGAAAAGCCCTCTCCTTCCCCTGGATGCCTGATAGGTTGAGCCACAGATGGCGCTCCGTAGTCACCAAAGCCGCCATGGATCGGGCCGTTTCCTTGGTCACACGGAGAGCCAAGTCCGTCGCTCTACGGAGCTCCGTTAGGTCCTCCTCAGAGGGACCTCCCCCTACGTCACAGTCCCGAAGAAGATCGGCCTGGTATGCCTGCAAGACAGCCATCGTATGTAGGCTGGCACCAGCTCGACCCGCTGCCATGTAGGCCTTGCCCACCAAATTGGACGTCATCCGACACGGCTTGGTGGGGAGCGCCAGCGTCTGGAGGGATGAGGCGAGGTTGGGAGAGAGGTAGCTAGCGAGTGCCTCCTCCACTCGTGGCTCCGTAGCCGTGCTGTCTGATTCCCGTCACATTGCCGTAGTCCAGCCGGGGGGACGTAGACAGCCGCGCAGAGAAGGGTTTATTCCATGATCTACACAACTCGTGCAGATCCGGAAAAAATGGTAGGGGCCGACGCGGGGGTGGCGCTCGGTGTTGCAGAAACCGCTCATCTAGTTTGCTGCCTGCCGATGGCTGCTGCACCGCCTGTTGCAGCTTGGCCACGGCCCCTCACCACTTCCAACAACTCCTCGTATCCTGGCGAGGGCTGATGACGTTCCGTTTCCTCTATGCTAAGCACATCTAGCTCCTCAGAGCCAGATCGTGTCAGCCTTTCCGGACTCGCCCCTTGAGTGGGAGAAACCGTGAAACGGGCTCCCGATTGGGGACGAGGGGAGGAGGATTCCGCGGACGAGGACCGGAAAAAGGCCTCAGCTGTTCCGGCACCCTCAGCGATCTCGCGTTGTGATCCCCAGAATCTGAGCCGCCGCGACGCCTCAGCGACCGCGGGGCCTGTGCCACGAGGGGAGCGCATCCGACCATCCTCTAGGAAGAGAGCCGCTCGAGACCTCAGCACCCTCAGGGGCAGGGCCTCGCAATGGTCGCAGGCAGCCCCCTTGAGAGCCGCCTGAGCATGCGACATCCCCAGGCATGAGACGCACATCCCATGGGTATCACCTTCTGTGATGAAACGCTCACAAGGGAAGACACACTGTTGGAATCGCTTTGACATGATCTTCTGCTGCTTCGTCTCGATGTCAGGTAGGAAAAGGGAGCTTCCAAACATAGCCAGAGTGCCTGCTGAATAGAAAGAAGCTAATGTGTCTTATGTGCCGGCGTGCTTATATACCCCCTCCGGTTATGCCGTCACACACTACCGTTCTAGTAACACCAATAGGATTGGAGTAGTTTCATTCATAGTTCAGCCCTGCCACGCCCAGGGGCGTTCCCATAGTGTCGTCACCGACGCAGTTCGAGTTCCCTCGAAGGGGAACCTCCTTTTCAGTCAGTTTCATAAGGGTTTGAAATCAATGACGTGCACATTTTTACCATAACTCAATGTTTATCTTACAGGCTGAATGACTGTAATAGAATTACTGTTTGCAGAGGGGTGTACCATTTCAAACCTTTTCACTTCTGGCCTAAATTAATTAGCTTGTTTGCGCCCTCATGCACCACAGTAATTACAGTAATCATCATAGATTGACTAAACTGGCACCATGCTGTGCTGCATTGCCTCTCTCTAAGAAAGCTTTGTACATTTTCATTCACTGTGTTGAACTCTCCCCTCTTGTATTGATGCTCATCGGTTAAGATTCGATTTGTTTTTATGACAAACCTATTTTTACTTTGCAGATTCTTTATACCACAAAAGGATTTCCATTGATGGAAGATATTTAAACTTGTAAATGTTTGATACAGGTGGGACTGATATGTTGTAATAATGCATGGATGTGCATTCTTTTGGGTGATGAGTTGTTGTTGTACAACATGTACCAAATATTATTAATTTATGTTTTGTTTTGAAAGTATTGATAATAACACCCTGTAGCTGAGGGCACACTCTGACTTTTAAGGCTTGTGTTGGGACTAAAATGACAGTGGAATATGTTTACAGCGAGCACACATGGTTTTCCTTACCACCAAAGTGTTGACTTTTATTGGCTGAACACTGCAGTCTCACATGATAGGAACTCTGTGACTCATTTGCTGTCTTTTTGGCCCCCTTCTTGTTTATTTTGGCAAATGTTTTACAATTTTTTTCTGATCAGAAGGTTAAAGAAGAGGTATCCTTTGAAGTATCCTATGTTTAAACTTTTCATTGCCTCTGTAGTTGATGAGACGATGTGGCAATTTGATCTTCACGTCCACCTTTGCCGTGTCAGAGTGGAGCAGATGTATCCTGGATGAGCCATGTAAACTGGGCAGATGGATTTGTGGTGGTGTACAGCATCACTGACCGAATGTCCTTCCTCCATGCCAAAAGCACCCTTTGGCAGATCAAAGAGGCCCGAGGGGAGAGCTGTAAGGGGTGAGTGACTGTAGTCTGCTGGGAATGAAGCCGAGCTGAGGGATTTACTTTGATGAACTAATGAGTCCCATTCCTGAGATGATGGTAAAGGCCTTTCAGGGTGAGGATCAACGTGGTATGCTGTGAGTTAAGGACTACGTTCCAACACACTGTACTGGGATCAGAAGAAGTATCTCTGTATGAAGTATTGTGTCACTTTGCAGTCAACTTTTTAGACCTAAGCACACTGGGTCAAAGATATTTTGGACTCGCACTGTATCTTCTAGGAGTGGGACCTCAGTGCTCCTCCAAGTGAATTATCTGGGTAAATCAGTGAAGTAATCCCTAAATGCTTTATATCCACTTTTCCTGATTATGGAAATTGAAATGGGGTCAAACATACCTACATATGGAATTTTATTTTATTAAAGGTTTTTGCAGGATGTAGACAGTGGATGAATAGTCTAAGTTGTGCATTTCTATTCCCAAGAGAGAGAACAGTTAAGAAGACCACTTGGAGGAACCTTCATTAACTGTGCTTCACTGAAACCATTTCATGACTTCCATGACTGGAATTGTTCCCCAGCTGATACCAAATTGGAAACCAACAATTAACACTATTGCTGCAAATGCGCTGGAATTATCAAAAGACAATTTTTCATCTGCAGTCCCGGGACAGATGTAACTTAATAAACCTAAAAAAGAATAGAATATTAAAATTAAAACAGTGAAACAGTTATTGAAACAAGCAGGACCTGTGCATCAACCTCAGGTATGCAAGGGCGAGGGCCTTGCCTCAGGAACACTCGTGCCACTTGTATGAGGTGTCTGCAGGAGAGGCCCACTTGGAAATATCCAACCTTGTCACAAAACCAATTCGTCACGAGATGCAGAACCTTAAGCACAGCGCAGACCACAGACGATTCAGTGGCTCCAAGTCCATGGCCAAACTCATCAATAATGTCTCTGGTAAAAGGAAGAAGTCTGTCTGATAGAGGATATCAGTAGTTACTAATGAGATCTAACTAAACTGTTTGTCTGGATACTCCAGACATTTTATATTGGTCAGCAAATATGTGGACATGTGCTACTGAGAATTTCAAAAGGTCATTTTTAGCTGAAATTGAATGACATCTCACGTTTTGAAAATCCTTTTTACCCCTGAACCCTTTTGTTTGAAATTTCAGTGTTCTTTTTAAGTAAGTAAAGTTCAAGTTTAAAGTGTTCACTTTATTTGATACAAAGAGAATTTGATATCTTTTTTTAAAGCACAAAATTTAACTTTTAACTTTACCTAATGACAGGTGCTATGCTCCTGGTAATAATTTTGGCTTACCAGCAAGCAATGTCATTTTTGCTATGTTTACAGTTATTTTGTATATCTCACAGGTTTCTGAGTAATTGTATTAAAACATAAATAATTTGCAGTTAGTGGCTGAATCACTGCATGCAACATGCTTTAATTCCTAATGTAGAGAAAAACAGGGAAGCTGCATCCAGCAGACCCAGTGAAAAGGACATAAAACATGGTTTGCCAGGGTGTAGTAAATGTTATGCCAAGATTAAAGTTCAGGCCGCCCAAATAAAAGTTAAGGTTAAAGTTTTAAGCTCCAGTTAAATTTTTTTCAGTTGTTCCTACACTGTCAGGAACAGAAGAGAAAAATAAAGAGTAAGAATAAATATTGTGTTAAATTTGAACAAAATCCAAGAAAATGAATGATAAACAACATTTAAAAGAACTACATGAAAGCCAAAGAATATAAATGTAGCAATAAAGTGGCTGCTTTTCTGAGTTTGGTGCAAAAATGATCTTAGACGATAATTGTAGACAAAAGCTTGTATTGGGTGAGATCATACTGAAGGCCTGTGCACATGCAAATTTTTGAGTAATAGATGGTCCTGGCAAAATATTTGACAGGACCATCTATTACTACGGGATCAAACTTTTGTTAAAGTTTGATCCCATAGCAGTTTTAATCATATGAACAAACTGCTTGAACACACTACTTATTCTTTACCTTGCATTTATAATGTCATTTAGTTTCCCAAAAATTATTAATATATTAACAATCATATTTTCTGTATATTTAATTGGTAATGTTAATAAACTGCAAAACACTGCAAAGTATTGAGTCTCTAAGGTTATGATTATGTTACTTATGAACAGACAACCGTTTGCAATAAGAGACTCAACATCAACTGCTCAGATAGAATCCTCCACTAGATGGAGACGAAGGCCCAAGAAAATTCCAGGGTGCCACCAAGAAAAACTGGTTCCCCATTCGCTTAATATATAACATAACTCAAGGTTATTGTGCAAGGTAGAAATTCAGGTCCTGTGTACGAGAAGTCTTTTTACGTTGGTCGACACAGGCCACCTGGGGCGGGCACTACAGGCTGCTGAATTAGGAGAAACCCTGTTCATCATTCAGTGGAAGTTTGTCCCTCTTCGATTTCCCTAGCCATCGGAAAAGTTTTTTTTTTTTGCGGAAAGGTGAAGACCAACCTGCAGAATGAAAATGATCTGCTCTAAGAGGTAAGAAACTTTTGTTGAATTTTCGAACAGCAGCCACAACCACATTGTGCACAAGGTGCATTCATATGTCTATCGTTATAACGTTAGACCCTTTTTAGCCCGTTATTATCTTGTCAAGAGAAAAACGTTTGTTCAACTTTATGTTTCGTTGCCATGACAACGTGTGCCATGGGGAATGCTACCATAAACTAAAAAACTCTTGAGTCTTTCTGCAATTTCACGTTTTTAGCAAGAGTAACGTAGCGTTAACTTTAGTTTATCGTAAGGTTACTTTGTGGTGAACGGCAGAGTAGCAGTTGTCTCTATCCTGTATTATATTATAACGTTATGTCAGGCTTTTTAATTGGCTTTAATTAGCTAACTAATCTCTACTATTATTAAGCTAGCTTACTCGTGTTAGTTAACTTATGGGCGATTCATGTTTAATTAACGTTAGTTAGTTAAGATCATAGACTGTGGGTTAAGATAAAGAATTAACTTGGCAAAAATATGAGGTAATTGAAGGCTAACCAGCCCCCATGCAAAAAATGTGGAACATTACAAACCACGAAAATACCTTTTCCATAACGTTATATATTTAAAACTTAATATTCAACTAGGCTAAGTTTACTTACTAATTTCAACTACCTTACTGCTAGTAAAGCTGAAGCAGGCGATGTCGTTTATGCTAATATGTTTGAATCATTTGTAATCTGAAAATGTTCAACAGCTGTTACCTTCTTAATGCAACATCCACGATTTAAAAAAGTGCTAATTTTACATATTTGAGTCAGTCATCATTTGTCAAATCTGTCGCGCCTATAAAGGTTATCTTGTCCTGCATCTTTTGTTCTAACTGGTTAAAGTGAAGAGCATCAACGTTATCACCTTGGCAGTTGACAATGATTGATTTATAACTGAAGCTGTGGGTATCTGTGTATATTCCCGATATGAGTGTGCTGAGGTCTCTCCGGGTTGACATTGAAATGAATTTGATTCGTTCTTGTTTCTGCTATGGCCTACATTTTTCTAGATGTCTGCCCTCCCAGCTTCCCAAGGCTGAACCCAGCAAGGGCAGAGATTAGCTTTAACCAGGATTAAACCAATGAGAAAATTTGAATTTGTTGGCCCTTATCTCCAAGCAACATGTGGAGTGCTCTGAGCAAATGGCAGAATTTGATCTTTTGCTTCCTTTTGGCAAAGCATGTTTTCTCAATAGACACTTATCAAACATGACCATTGGAGACAGAAGGAATTTCTTGGAGGGGCATTTAAATTATTTGTTTATAGGGACACTACATGCATTACTTGTTTTTTGAGTGTAGGAAAACCAACTTAAAGCGCCTCCTATTCTGTCAGTCCATCAGCTGTCAGGTAGTGTATAGATTCACAGCTCTTTAGTAAGTCTGTTGTATGCTTTAATGGCTTCACATTAATGTGCTCTGGGTATATTACATTTAGACCACAAGCTTTGATAATCTCTCCGCATAATATTAGGATTCACCTCATAATTTAGTGAACTAGATGGGCTCTATATTTGCATTCTAAACATGCAATTTCTTGCCTCATCAGGTAATGTAATTCCACGCTTCATTAGGACTGTGAAGTTTATCATTTGTCATCAAAGCCCAGCTGTCAATAAATGATTAAGTTTCACATGAGGAAAATGTAATGTTTGGGCTCAAGCAAAACAGATAGCAGTTAACATTTTAATTGCAGTTAGTAAGATTCTGTTTTTGTTTGATTTTCAGGCTATATTTTAGCGGCTGCTTGAGGCACCGTCATTAGAGAGCAGCTTAAGCCTAATTTATTCATCTAGTTATGCCATTAAAGAAAGAAAACTTCTAAAGGCCCTGTACTAAATTGAAATGTCTAATATCTTGACGGTCAGATTGAAAAGTGGTACCTGTTTTGACACTGTGGTTTTAGCAGCATTTCTACACTACTGCTGACGTTTGGCACACTGCGGTTGTGCGACTGTCAAATGCCACTATATAAACATTATTTCCATCATTGATTCATCCGTTGATTGTTTTTATGATGAATCTGTTAAACATTTAATGTATATAATGTCAGAAGCCCAAGGTGATATCTTATACATATGTTGTTTGTAGAAGCTAAAGCAGGTTTTCTTTTGGCACAGGTTACAACAACAACCTACTTCCAGGGTACATAGACAGGGAAAAAATCTGAAAAGGTCAAACCTCAGCACTTGTAGTATAATGAAATGCTTTATTGTCAGACCAGTGTGTTTCAGCTTGTGGGCCTTAAACAGGGTCATATCTTGTATGGCCACAACAATTCAAAGATGTTCAAGTAAGCATTATATAACCAAAGGAAGGCACATAGTCCACACATTTAAAAAGCTGAAACTAGAAAATGTTTGCTCAAATAATGAATTAATGGTCACTTCAGTTTATACAGACATCAATATTACACATCACACTATAATAATAATCATAATATTACTTGTTAGGCAGAAAGGTGGATATTTTTAGAGCTTGGAGGCAGAGCTCAGTGTCCTTACTGCAGATGGGAAAAGAAAAATAGAAAAATTGTCAATTAATTAGATCTCAATCGACTTGTTGACTAATCGACAAATTATTTCAGCCCTAAACGGCATATCATTTGTGTTCTACTGACAGATACCACTTCCTACTTGCACGTGCGCTTTCAAATGGGTAGATAAGTTCCAGCGGCATATGCCAGTAAACAACAGTATTTGCCATTTATATAATGTTGTCAGAATTCTGTTCATTCTGTTCAACAGTTTTAAAGATGTGAATAACATTGCAGCCTCTAGGGGATAGTGGCAGACTTACTGACATCAAGGGTAAGAGAAAGAGTAAATATACATTACCTTTAGTTAATGAAAGACAAGCAGGTTTAAGGGAAGAAAAATTACACAGGATCATCTGTAAATCTATGTTCTGTTTGTTCCAAAGTGACATTGATTTTGCGCACTTGGTTCTTTGACAGTATCCCCCTCACTCCCAGTCATTAGGCACAACATACATTTATTCACTCAGCAGTGTAAATAAACAGAAATTGCTGTCTGACAGAATGATGGAGAGATGAGGCAAGTATGGGCTTGACTTGTGATGAACCGTTGACTCTAATTACTTCCTGCTGAAACTGGAGATGAGGCAAACTCAATGTAAAAGGTGGACCAGAGCCTGTGTCTCCTTGGGGTTGTGATGCGTACTGATGTTTGCTCATCTTCCAGCAAGTCTGTGAGTGAACAAAGACCATTGTTAATTCTGTGCTGCTGTTTGATATATATATGTGTGTGTGTGTGTGTGTGTGTGTGTATATAAATTATTTATTATTATTTATTATTATTATTACTTGGTGGTCACTGTATGTAATTTGGGGTTCCTGTTGTTTTTGCTTTGTGAGAGCCCAACAAACCAAATTCCTATCTTGTAGTGGCAATAAAGTATTGAATCTTGACTTAACCACGTCAGTAAAAAGGAG